GGCTCGAGTATCGGAGGGTCATTTTTTGGCCGTCTATTACAATCTTCCCCATGGTAAAGTACCCCCTTTTTGAACGCTTTTATAGCTCAAATGGCGGGCAAATTTCTTTTTCGTTACGTTGCAAAGGATGTCAATTTTCTGAATGTTTGAATTCATCTTTTGCCTTCTTCAATAAGGCAGAGCTTTTGAAAAATAACATGGAAATATTCGCCAGAAGGTTCAGTCGGAAAAAGTTTCAAAAGCATCACATGAGGCAAAGAAAGGCACAGGTAGCCCAAGCTCACTATGAAAGCCGTGAACAACATTATCCTACTTAGCTAATTAATTATTCATACAGCAAGAAAATTATAAGACGTTGTATGGAGAAATATTCTTTGCTCACTAAATTAGCAAAATGTACATTGAATATCGCTTTGAAGCTTACCTTTAGCGTCTTCTTGTTTTTCTTTGTATTCTGACTGCATTTCAGACCTCCTAGGCACTGTTTAAGGCCTTTTTTGGAGCGACAGTTTTTCACCCAAATGACAGTAGAGAGAAGAGAAGAGAAGGTTGGCAAACCTCTCTTGACCGGCTCCGCTCTCGGCGGCGATAAATTCCGTGACATATGCGACATGGAGACAATTCCGCCAGAAACAGATGTCCTGATAAATAACGCACATTTTCCATTATTCACATCGCCAAAATTCCCATTTCGAAGGTCCTAAATCGCCAACGAAGTGGGCAATACACGGCTGAGGTGAGGCGAGTCGAGAGCAGACCCGCAACGGACTCCAACCGTCACGTCGACAATTCAAACCGACGCGGGCTGGCAGGGTCAAATTGTTCAACCGTCAAAGGACAATTGGAGCATTTAGCCTACTGGGCACAGTAACTGATTTTTCACTTCTCACATTGCACTCCGGGGTCGCGGAAGTCAAGCATCGCGTGTGATAGTGACATGTAATATCAAAACATGTCGCGTTGTTAATGTTTTGATCTCTACTCTTCTTTTTAAAAAGCGTTTGACAATGGTTTTTTATGTATGATTTAGAAAAAAATTTTGCAATAAGAATTACTACGGCTGTAAACAGTTGTTAGCTATTTTTCCTCCCTTTTTCAACAAGTGGCAGTAAGTAGCAAGTTTGGGGACAGGATCTTCCGGCAGGTGCTCTTATCTATTGTGAGTGTTTTTACGGAAAGGAAATATGTAAATAAATATTTCTTTGAATTTTCTCTTGGTAATTCTGCCACATTAGCTACACCAATTTCAAGATCAAATTATACATCAGCTGCTTACTGCCCAAGCAAACTATTTCTGAAATATGAATTCCAAATGTAGTAGCTATTTTTGTATTGATTGGATTTCTTGACGCTACTATTAATCATGGCAGAAGGGTAGGATGAAGTTTTGTAATCAAAAGATTGCATTGTTTCTCGTTGAACATGCACTTACAAAGTATTTCATTTTGCAAAACAACTTTTATTTCAGTCTAACAATGAACAAAGGGCTGTGTTGAACTGCGCCTCATTGGGTCATAATCTATTAGTTAGTGGACAAGCCGGAACAGGAAAAGAAGTGAAGTGAAGCTGAAGTGTAGAAGTGAAGCTGCCCTCGTGAATTTCAAAATTACGACAGACCCTAACAAGAAAAATATTACAGGGGCACCCAACGAGAATATGGTTCAAAACCACTAAAACATAGCATTGTTAAACGCATTTTGGTATTTAAACGGTAGATATAGGCATATTTTTATCCCCTAAAAATTTTTCATCTGTTCGGATTTCCTAGCTGAAAGTCTAGTGATCCGAAAATTATAGGGATCAAAACTTACCTTTTCGAAAATTTCAGCCAGAAAAAAGGCTCCCGAAAATTCTAGGTGACCTTTTTAAGGTAAAAATCCGTTAAAAATAGGCAATTATACCATATTTTAGATGTTCGAAAATCCTAGGAGAAGTAGGCAAGCAAGAAATTTTACAACAAATGTTCCGAAAATTCTAGATCTCAAATCGTCTTCCGAACAGATATTTTTCCGAAAATTGTCGTTGGGTGCCCCTGATATTATGCAGTCAACTTTAAGAATTGAAGATAAATCAAGGCGAATCCAGGGTATTATTTTTTTCTAAATCATACATAAAAAACCATTGTCAAACGCTTTTTAAAAAGAAGAATAGAGATCAAAACATTAACAACGCGACATGTTTTGATATTACATGTCACTATCACACGCGATGCTTGACTTCCGCGACCCCGGAGTGCAATGTGAGAAGTGAAAAATCAGTTACTGTGCCCAGTAGGCTAAATGCTCCAATTGTCCTTTGACGGTTGAACAATTTGACCCTGCCAGCCCGCGTCGGTTTGAATTGTCGACGTGACGGTTGGAGTCCGTTGCGGGTCTGCTCTCGACTCGCCTCACCTCAGCCGTGTATTGCCCACTTCGTTGGCGATTTAGGACCTTCGAAATGGGAATTTTGGCAATGTGAATAATGGAAAATGTGCGTTATTTATCAGGACATCTGTTTCTGGCGGAATTGTCTCCATGTCGCATATGTCACGGAATTTATCGCCGCCGAGAGCGGAGCCGGTCAAGAGAGGTTTGCCAACCTTCTCTTCTCTTCTCTCTACTGTCATTTGGGTGAAAAACTGTCGCTCCAAAAAAGGTCTTAAACAGTGCCTAGGAGGTCTGAAATGCAGTCAGAATACAAAGAAAAACAAGAAGACGCTAGAGGTAAGCTTCAAAGCGATATTCAATGTACATTTTGCTAATTTAGTGAGCAAAGAATATTTCTCCATACAACGTCTTATAATTTTCTTGCCGTATATGGAGCGGTATCAACGCCAAAAATAAAAGTACAACTAGATGATATGATGGTCGATATTCTTAATACGTTACTCTGTTTACAAGATACGATGGTTTGGCCGCACAATTAAATATTACAGCTTGGAAACACGATACTCCGTCTACTGGACGCAATATTGCGGCATAACAACACGATACTCCGTCTACTCGACACGATATTGCGGCACAACAACACGATACTCCGTCTTTCAAACATAAGCTCGCTTGACGTTTGCATGACAAGACGATAGTCCGCTTTCCAAACATAATGTTTCGGACATATTTCTCAACAAAACGCCAGAACCTCTTCACCTTCGTCACTGTTCGACGAACTGTGCGAGCCACCGACGCGGCGAGGCGACAAAAATAACACGATAATTTGCCTAGGAACCTGGTAACTAACGGTCAGCCTCAAAATGATGTTCGCGGGAATTTGGGCGCTGTCGTTCGCGGTTAGTCAGACCCGGAGTGTCTTCTGTGTGTCATGGCTGACAAGGAGGATAATCGTGACCGTGATCAAGCGCGAGGATCGCAAATGACAGCCGGTAGGTTTGCAGAATCTGCTTTTTCGCAGGCGGTGGACCTTCTAGAAAGAAGCGTTAGCTTACTAAAAGAATCGCCTTTGGAAAGAAACGTATCAGCACCTTTGGAAGAACTCCAAGGCCAACGTGCTCTTGCAAATTACAGGTTAGGTTTGTAAGCTTAAATTGTCATAATATGTTTCATTATCCTATGGATCTCCATTTACAAATCATGAATGCTTATTTCCATATTTCAGATATTTCTTTTAATTGATGAATATTTTATAACTTATGAGTATAGTCTAAACAGTACTCTGAAATGTCTTGAAGGAAATGCCCGGGATTTTTTTCTTTCCCAGTGAGTGGCAATCATGAATGAACAATATGGCGATGTATCTTTTCACTAAATTTGATTTTAAAAAATGTGCAAAGTTTCCATTTGAATTCTTTTGTGCTACACATCGGGCAGGACTGTTTTTTGCATGACGCTTTTGTTTTTCATAGTGTAAAATATAAACTAGATTTTAGTGGATATATGCATGTATGTCAGGGGCACCCAACGAGAATATAGTTCAAAACCACTTAAACATAGCATTGTTAAACGTATTTTAGTATTTAAACAGTAGATAAAGACATATTTTTATCCCCTAAAAATTTTTCATCTGTTCGGATTTCCTAGCTGAAAGTCTAGTGATCCGAAAATTATAGGGATCAAAACTCGCCTTTTCGAAAATTTCAGCCAGAAAAAAGGCTCCCGAAAATTCTAGGTGACCTTTTTAGGGTGAAAATCCGTTAAAAATAGGCAATTATACCATTTTTTAGATGTTCGAAAATCCTAGGAGAGGCAGGCAAGCAAGAAATTATACAACAAATGTTCCGAAAATTGTAGATCTCAAATCGTCTTCCGAACAGATATTTTTCCGAAAATTGTCGTTGGGTGCCCCTGGTATGTGTTGTAGCTCAACTGAGATTCAGGTCGAAATAAAATTCCTTTGTCTCCCAACCCAGTTATTCATGATTTCATGAATAATTAGGATTAGGGACAAAGGAATTTCATTTTGACACAGGTTAACATCATTTTGACCTAAAACAAGTAGCTGCTCTATAAACAGATTGGTAGGCAGATAAATAGATAGCTAGACATTCTAAATAAGTGCATGTATTAAGTTTATTAGGGTGTAACCTCTATTTTTCCAAGGCGTATATATCCAGGCCCCTCGAGGACTCAGGCAGCAGGTCAGTCTGCATCAGGCCAAACAGCTTCAGGACCCACAACCTCGGCTAACCGCAGTTTGTCATCATGGTGGCCAAGCCCAGCCTCAGTCCCAAGTTCCAGTAGTAAGAAATCTTCCTTCCGCTTCCAGCCTTACAAACTCAAAGAAACCTGGACACACGAATTCTGCGTTGTAGCTGATAAAGATCAACGTCAAGTTCCATCAACTGCAATGAAACAAGAGCTACGGGAAGCTGGTCTTGGTCAAAGACGGATTGTGTTTAAAAATAAGAAAGGTGATTTTAAGCACATTCAGGAAGGCCTTTTCAGCAATTTTCCAAAGCTGCGAGAGGCTGGTGGGTTTGAGCTCTACAGGCAGCAAGAAGGAAAAAGCATGCTATATCAAACCACCAGCATCTGGTTACACCATTCCATTTTTAAAGTACACATATGGGATTAAGTCTGCCATACTTTATGTGCTTCCAATCCAAAAGAAGCCTTTCCATGGATCCAGTGGTTTTGGATGAAGAGGAGGTATGTGTTGTGTGTATTGTTGACAGCTTGTGAAAAGTTGCTGTTTCACAGCAGAAATGGTTATTCATGAGTTGTGAAGGCGCCTAAAACATTTCCAGATTTTGGTGGTACAGAAAACATTGATTAAAAGTCCTTCTCTCTTTTTTGAAGGTTGATGATGTCAACATTCAGACCCAAGAATGCTATCAGTGTGGCATAGCAGTGCCTTTAAGGACCTTAAGGGAACACCTTAAGAAATGCATTTGTATTGCTGAGCCCGTGGTTGATGAGCCTGTGGTTGCTGAGTCTGTGGTTGAAGTTGAGGTTTGTGAGTGTTTAGCTTACTAGGAGACATGATTTGTTTTCCAGCAGATCTTGTGAAACAGGCAAGAAATCATAACACACACTGTTTCAGTGGGGTGCTTGAGCAATGTTGGGATAAGATGCTATATGCTAGGACATACATGTAATAATATTATTATATAATTATGCCTGGTTGCTTTAGGGGCATATGACTGGTTTAATGAGCATCTGTTTGAAAATATAATCCTAGTTATGGTTTCTATGATGTAGGGGAATAAATGTAAAAGTAGTTTGGTGGAAAAAGTGCTTAGTGTCTGTAACCAAATGATGAGGATTGTATGTCCTCTTACTCTTTATGTACTGGTAATTTCAACTTGCAAAGTAAGAAGGCTTTGTTTACTTCTGCAAAAGGCAATTGGCATTCATCATGTGAGAGGTTTCCTTGGTGACCCATTAGCTGTAGACAGTGCATTAACTGTGTTTGTGCAGTTACCAGGTGGCTGGTTGGTCTTAATTCAGTTTTAATTTTGTTTGTTTCATCTTGTTTCATATTTTTACATTCTACTTTCCACAAAATTTCCCTTAAAAACAGTCCTTCAATTTTTTAATTCATCAATTATTTTGCTATAGGCCAGTGATGATGATTCAGCTGATGAACCTCCAAACACTTTATTTTGTAAAAGGGAGTTCACATCCAGTGCTCCAAGCACTTCATCTAGCACAGGTGATTTTAACAAATACAGCTGTACCTTTAATTATTGTTGCAGTTGTTTGGAGTTAACACACCAATCTTTGCATAAAACTGCTATAGAGTGATATCTTAATTGGAATGTGATATCTAATATTTTACATTGATTACTAGACTGGAAAGGTTATTGGCTAACTGTAGCCTTCAGGCAAAAAAATAAGTATCTACCCATGCTCCTGAGCTGAGAACAGTCAGAGCAAATGTAAAGAGAGTTGCATTTTGAGGCCAATTTGCAATATGATGCTGGATAGAAACAGCCACAAATTTAAGATCTGTTATGAGAGTACTTTGTAGGTAACTGTTGATTCTTGAATTATATCCTTTATACTTACAGGGTCCTCATCTAGTGCCAGTAATGAAGGGTCAACCCTATGCCCATCCCAAACAACTTCTTCTGATCTTCACCAGTTAACACAAATGTTTCCTGCAAATGACATCACATATCTCAAGCAAGTTCTTGAAGACTGTGGTACAGTTTCTCATGCTGTTGCTAAAATTTTGGGAGATGAGGAAACCCCATCATCTGTGCATGGTATGGAAAGGAAAATCTCAGTTCAGTACTTTAGCCAACATGATTCATGTTTGGTCCAGACATCAGCTATCTCTAATTCCACAACAGATTGTGGAATCATATAATTTTTTTTCTTACTGCCACAAAGTACATAATGATTGTTAAGTCCTTTCAACCTTCTTTAGTATACTTCACCATTAATGTCATTAGTATTCATAAGTAACTTGTTCAAATTTACAATAGGTGATGATGCAATTGATGAAATAGAAGACACACCTCTTGCAGCCATAGGCATGATAACAAATGAAGATGATGCCCTAAGAAAGTTCATTCAAAGTGCAGTTTCACCTTTTGGAATAGAGGTTGATGTGCAGGTGAACCGGGATCATAACATGCTGACACAGATGATAAGAAAATACAAAAACCCAGCATTTGATGTAACAAAGCCTCTCAATGTACAATTTCATGGGGCTGGTGAGCAAGGTTTAGATGCTGGTGGAATCACAAGGGAGTACTTTTACTTTCTTGTGGAAAGTATGAAACAATGTTCACCAGATGGAATCACACTCTTGGAAGGTGCTTTGGGTCATCTTGTACCCAAACATGATTATGAGCTGTTGTCAAGTGGCATGTTCATAATCATGGGGAAGATGATTCTGCATGCAGTGCTCAACAATTGTTGTGGAATATCAGGCATTTCTCCTGCCATTGTGAAATACATTGCCACTGGCAAAAGCGGGATTCATCTGTTGAAGACATCGCATTGGAGGACATCCCTGATCCCTGTATGAGAGAACAACTAAAACAGGTTTGTGGTTAGTTGATGTTTGCAGTAAATGGGATGCACCAAAAACCCCAGGGAAATTTCCATGTGACACACAATTTCCATTTCCACAAACATTCCCAAAGGTCGGGCTTACTGTGCGATTCAAGCTGATAGGCCTGGAAAATGAGCAAATGAGATGCAAAATGCCATTTGGGTATTTTGGACTACCTTTCCAGAAAAACCATTTTCTCAAGAAATTTTCCATTTGGGAAGACCAAACTAGACTTCCATTTACATTCCAGCCCAAATTTCCAGATTTTTTGGTAACACTAACAAACAAACAACCTGTGTGTCAAGTATTGATATTTATTAACCTATTTTTGCCAAGAGCTTGCATGTATTCTAACAATGTAATTCATTAATTTTGTTATTTAACCAGCTTATTACTTTCATACATACAGTGTACAGTGTAGACCATGCTTGGCATTTCTCTTTACTCCCCATTACTGACCAGAAGCAAGCTCAACAAAACTTTATTATTTATAAGATTTCCTAATAAAACCCATTGTTGCAAGATATTCAGTGTCAGCTGAAATGTTGCTTTAAGTGTCCTCCTTTAAAATGTGTTTATTTCTTCTTCAATCTTTAAAGCTTATTACATGTGATGAAAAGGATCTAGCCTCTTTCACAAGTCCAGATACAAGAGAGAGCTTTTCAGATATCCTTTATGCATCTGGATTTCCTTATTTGGAAATCACTGCTGACAACAGGTCTCTGGCTTATGAATGCTTTCTCCAGTACGAGGTCATCATGAAGCGCATTCCAGCTCTGGAAGATATAAGGAAAGGATTGGCCAGTGTGCGAGTGAAGGGAATTACTTTGTTGGATCTCTTGCGAACTCACCCTAACCTAACTGGACATGTGTTCCCTCAGTACAACAACATAGACCCTAGAATGTTCCGGCTGGCTATGGAGTTTGATGAAACTAATGTGGATGATGAAAAGGAGGCTCGGGTGTTCTTGGAGAAATACATAGATGATGTGGCTTCAAGAGGTATGTTATCTTATAATCTGTCCTTAGATCATTTTTTATATGCCTGTGCCACACAATGCATGTCCCCTCTGCTACACAAGTAACTATTTCTTTAAATAAATTATACCATATTCCATAGTCTTTGAACATTATTGCAGATAGCTGCTGCATTCTTCGTTTAAATTGAAGCCCTTTGCAGCTTACAATTATCTTACTTCAATAAAATTAATGATAACATTGATTCTGGTAATTGATACTTTGTCAGCTAGCAGCAATACCAGTATTACAAGTAACTTTTTCTTCGACCAAAACTTTGACCTATCGCATATGGGCATTTTTTTATCCTAAGACGAGCTTCACAAAGGTGTGTCAGAAACCTACAGTGGTAGCAACATGCAATTACTGAAAACCATTAAAATATAATAAGAAATAGTAGATCTTCCAGTAATACAAGGCTCAAAGAATGAGAATGTTTCTTTAAGAATTTATAATTAATTTAACATGTTTTAGAGAGTAGAATAAGACTGTGTACCCACAGCTCAATGTATGACTTGTGTTATTCTTTGTATGGTTTTATTTCCTCAGAAGAAGATTCAGAACAAGAAACCCTCAAGGACCTGTTACAGTTCTGGACTGGTTATCCACAGTTGCCTCGTGACACCTTATGTAAACTGTGGGTGAAGTACTGTCCTCAGCAACCTTCCAAGGTCTTGGCTGAAGCAGACACCTGTACACTCACCTTACGGATTCCTACCACTCATCAACAGTATGAGGATTTCAAAAGGTTCATGGACTGTAGTATTGCTCATGGAAAGGTTGGCTTTGGAAGAATGTGACAGAAATGTTCATGCTTAGTACTAAATTCACTGGTAATAATAACTTGGAGTATGAAATTTATTTGGAGCAGGATGCAGTGCCATAACATAAACAGTTCTGCATATACATGTAGTTGTAATATTTTACTTGTGTACATGTTCATGTAGAAGATACATGTATGTGTCAGACAATATCATTTTGACTCAATTTTTTTTGTAATTCTTGTGGGTGAGTTTGTGGGCTATTTGTTGCAAAGGTTGATCCTATCCCTGCTCCACACTAACAGCACTCACATCAGCTGAAGAACTACATGTACATGTAACCAACTATTCATTATCTTGTAGAAAATAAATTTATTAAGCAGTCTGCCAAAGTTCAAATACAAATAATTTACATCACTTTATCAGGATAGTTTAAAAAAGCACTTGCATTCGTAAAGTTTTATCCAAACCTTTCAATCATGCTTGGTCATTTTATACATGTTGGTACAGTATGTACTGTAAGTCTCTTAGTGTTTTCAAGTTGAAATTAGCAGCCATTATTAATTTTTAGTCTAGAAAATATCACTGACCATGTTCACTTGGAAAAAAGTATACTAACAATTGTACTTGTCAGAAAAATGTTGCCAGTTTTGACATTTTATGCATTGAAATTGTCTAATTGTTTAGCAGTGTTTCCAAGTTAAAGTAATTTTGAAAATTTTGTAGCATTACAATGTTTGCAACTTAGATATAGTAGCAGCGTTGCTACAGGTTAAGTTACCTTTCTCTTAATAAATGTTGTGTTAAAATATGGGGGTGCATACTGGCTCTTGGTTTTTTTTGGTCCTTAAAGCTATTTCATCTTCAACAATATTATTGTCCTTGGTACTGTATGGGGTCTAGTTAACTGAGAGTTCTATACTTTACAGTAACTACACATATCAATCTTAATAGTTTCAACTTGAAATTCTGCTTGTCACAAATTGAAGTGTCCTTTCATAGAGATCAATTCCATGGATGGTGCTGTCATCTAAGGGATTGATTTCGTCTTTAAAAAATGCGCTATCATTGTGACTGATAGGACATCTAGTATAAGGAACTTCAATGCAATTTTCCTCTGGAGATAATGGTCCATCCCAGTCCACTCCATACAGCTGCAATGCATATGAAAATACATTATGTCGATTGTGGCAATCAGTAATAACACTCTACCACTGTTTTGGATAACCTGCCACCAAAGAGATCTGGCATAACATTGGGCTTCATCACCATCAGCATCATCATTATCATCAAAAGAAGTTGTTGCTAAAGCAACTTGAGAAAAGAAACGAACTAAATCACATTACTTTTATACAGATCATAAAATCAGACAAGGATATTGGGATATGTCTAAATGTTACAAAAATATGACTTGCAGTTAATAATAATTATTTACTGCCTGAAAGAACAGGGGGCACCCAACGGCAAGTATCAGAAATCTGTTTGGTGGAGGTTAGTTCGCCTTTGGCTTTTGGAATCCGTTAAAGAGTGCACTCAAATTTTCGTAACTGAAACATGGCCTAAAAGATCGGCAATGGGGAAATCATAACCTCTGAGGTTTTTGAAAGGTCGTAATTGTTGTTTTTGGCAGTAAAAATCATCAGCTAGCCTTTTCGGGAAAAAAATAGCTGCATAAAACGTTTGTGGAAAGATCATTTCAGCATTTTCTCAAATGAAGACTTTGTTCCCTAACATTTTCAGGCAATTAAAAGTTCAGCTAAGGAATCCAAATAGATCCAATTCTTCCAGCTAACGAAAACATCACTCTAGACAGACTTCAAGCAACATAAGTTATTAAATTTAAAAGTGCCTCTTTCTCAAGCTTTTGGTTGATTTGGCTTGTTGGGTGCCCCAGAGAGAAGACATCTTTCAACAGAGAAAAACTGACCTGCCATTCATCTTTGTTCATTTCTTGAGCAATGACATAATCTGACTGGGCAATAGCATACAGCCCTTGGAACCATAACTGAGTAGGGGTTTTATTTCCAGCTGTTCTGATCCGTTTTCTACTCCAGCCTTCTGCAAACAATTGCAGATGACGATCTATCTTGAGGTTGATACACAAAGTGAAGGCACCAGAGGTGTATGTCATTGTGTGGCTCTAACAATCCAACAGTTTCCATGTAATAGAAGAGGTTGTAATACAAATATGTACAACCAGTGAACACATCACGCCACAACCTCTCTAAATGTAAGGAATCAGGCAAACCACTTTTAATATTATTGTTTATAACAGCTCACAATGACAAGCAAACATTTAAAAGACATTCTAGTTTTCTGTTGTTCCTGGTACATTTAGCATAATACATCTTCCCTGTAAAATAATTATTAATGTCAGTAGTAATTTTAGGGTTTAAAACAGATACACATTGAATGCCTAAAATGACACATACAGAAAGAAAGAAATTTGCACAAAATAATGTGTAGAATGGCCCATTTTACAGTTGTGTGTTTGGTGCCCTGGCCTTTGAGTGGAAGAGAGCCTGGGGTCAATTTAATAAAACTTTTACAAGTGTAATTTACAAGTGCAGCCATTGTTTTAGAGTCGGAAAACAATAGCTACACTTGTAAATTACACTTGTAAAAGTTTTATAGAATTGACCACTGGTGGTGACCTTGTTTAGATGCAAACCTTTCTGTCTTTCTCATGCAAATGTGGACTAGTTAGCATAAGAACAACATGATTTACATGTGAGAAAAGCAGTGCGGTATGTATCAAAACCAGGTCTCCACCCTGGCCTGGTGGGCTATTGCCTCTCAGTAGTACAAATAGTGTCTGTCATGTTGAGAGTTTACCTATTCTTTGGTTGTGTACACTTCTGCCACCAATAAAACTGCCCCTGTCTGGGCCTCTGTCTGGGTGGGTAAGCATGAACCATGCCACATCTGCATTCTCCCCACCGCAATCACCTGTAAATATATTAACTTAGGTTCAGATAGGCTAGATTATATTAACAGTGATGGCGTGAGTACAGCTGTATGTATTCATAATTATTTGTAACATGCTTCTAATCAAGTACAGGCTATCAAGAATGAAATAATGCAGGGCTGTCATTAAGGGCCAGGGATTGGGGATTTTCTCCAGCCAATTTTGATAATTCTGAACTAGATCCCCAGCTACTTTAAAACAAAACAGCATACTGATCATGCAAAAACAGCTGGATTCCCAGCTACCTTTTGTACATCCCCGCCTACATCAGAAATCAGTGACAGCCCTGAATAATGTTTTAATTTGATCATTCATAGCCAATAAACTGAAGACGTTCTAACAGTGATTACACAAAGGCCTACCTCTTACACGTGATGGTAAACCAAACCTCTCTACACCCTCCAGAAAATATGAGAAAACTGTTGAGGCTTTGTTGTTACTTGAACATCTTAGAAAAATAATCATTCTTGAATATCCATCTATCATGCCATGAATAACAAAGCGCCAACGGATTAGCTTGTGGTTACCGTCTATATGGAACAAAGCTCTGGGTGAATATACATTATATCCCCGTCTGTGTGTTGTTTGGAGCTCTAGTGTCCTCAAGAAGTACTCCTTCGGGATCAACTCTGTGCATAGATTCTCGAACTCTCTTCTCTTGTACACGTAGCCCTTTTGTTTCGAGGAACGCAAGCATTCTACGGTAACCACAATTTGGGAACATTTGGAAGACTTCCATGACATGGTTATCTAGAGCTTCATTCGAAATATCAGCATATCTGTCAGTGATTGAAAGGCTGTATTCTGATAGTCGCCTTTGGACTGTTCTAACACTTACACCTAACATAGTGGCCATATCTGAAGTATTGAAACCATGTTCAATGAATAATTCCAGTTGTTCCCTGGGTATGTTGTAAGAAGGTCTTCCTCTGTCCTGTGTGAAAATCCGGCCTGCCTGGTATCTATCCTGGTCCACATGTAGATGGCTGTCTTGGAAGTCGTTCGACAAAATTGACACAACTCTCTGCAAGTTCAGGATTACTTCTCGCGGAACATTAGCTACGTCTACGCATCGAACAACGAGATGACGTAAAGAATCCAGCCTAAATATTACACTGTCTCTCACATCGCAATCCATGGCACTCGATTGCCTCAGTATTCTACATATTTCTTGGATAGTCCTGGAATAGCGATCCAAAAGCAATTCTCGTATTCTTTGCGGATTTTCCGCCATGTTGAATGTAGGAATAGGCCCAGTCTGATGAGACTGACCGTTAGTTACCAGGTTCCTAGGCAAATCATCGTGTTATTTTTGTCGCCTCGCCGCGTCATTGGCTCGCACAGTTCGTCGAACAGTGACGAAGGTGAAGAGGTTCTGGCGTTTTGTTGAGAAATATGTCCGAAACATTATGTTTTGAAGGCGGACTATCGTCTTGTCATGCAAACGTTAAGTGAGCTTATGTTTGAAAGACGGAGTATCGTGTTGTTGTGCCACAATATTACGTCCAGTAGACGGAGTATCGTGTTGTTGTGCCGCAATATCGTGTCGAGTAGACGGAGTATCGTGTTGTTATGCCGCAATATTGCGTCCAGTAGACGGAGTATCGTGTTTCCAAGCTGTAATATTTAATTGTGCGGCCAAACCATCGTATCTTGTAAACAGAGTAACGTATTAAGAATATCGACCATCATATCATCTAGTTGTACTTTTATTTTTGGCGTTGATACCGCTCCATAGCCGTATGAATAATTAATTAGCTAAGTAGGATAATGTCGTTCACGGCTTTCATAGTGAGCTTGGGCTACCTGTGAGAAAGGTACCGCGAAGTGTCTATAAATTGGCACAGTTTGTATGATCGTTTATCGCTTTCGGGCAACGTGCGAGGTGGTGTGGAAATATCCTGATCTCAGAATAGGAGGATTGGTTTATGATACATTGAGCTTAATGTACGCCGAGTTTCAGCGAGCCAAAGTGCGTAGTTCTTCTCATCAATCCCTTTAAAGTCGATGGAATGAAAAAATGTGGAGACGACATAAATGTAATCTGCTTACATCAAGTCACTACCTGCTGCAACAGGTTGGCAGTAGAGATCAGTGGTAAGTTTTGAAATTTACTCGTTTACTTCTAACAACAGGAGACTTATATGTATGTTTTGTGCATGGATCAACATCAGGAAAACGTAATTTTTTGAATGGCAAATAGATAGCGGTCCTGAAATACATGCAGGTTGTAAAATTAATGTTCAGGCTCTACAAACGGCTCTCCATATATTAATGCTAGAGGGATAACACTGCTAGGCTAGAATCTATGTGCAATTGCATTGTACAATATTAACTGCAACATTCCATTAAATAATTTTTGATCAGGGGTGCAAGGAATCTCTGTTGTCAAAGTACAAAATATTAAAATCAACAAATCAATACTAATTATTTTTAATTTAAGAACACTATAATTATGATAGTGTTGAAGTTTATGTATACAAACAGAAATAGATTTGATACATCTTTTGTGAGGGTTATTGTTTTATGCACTTATTGAAACTAATCTGTGCAACCGTCAATCCCAATTGTTCAGGAAGTACTGTTTCCCCAAATTTTAAAGTGGAAAAATCAATTTCAAGCTTTTTGTAAGAGCCAATTCGGGGGCAGCCAGTGAGGAATAACACGACGTGGTATGAATGGTATACCTTCCTGAATGGCCACCCAAAGACGATGGTTTCCTTCAGTGATATAGGCTCTTCCAGTTGTAAGATCACATGATATTGAAAACCATTTTTCAAAATGAAACGTCTTACTTGTTCAAGATGATTGTGATTATTGCCAGCTTTTGGCATGAGAGATCTGTCAAATTCCCTATATTCCCAAAGATCTTGTGTTTTGACCATTTGAAATTCATGCGAATAATCAAATGCATCAGAAATGTAAGATTTGGTCTGCATTGCATGTTTTTCACTTTCTGTGGGTTCATCAAGTGTCACAAAGGACATATCTGTATCAATTAATGGTTGAAATGCTTTTGCAAAATCATCGTCACTACTGTCACTGTCAATTTCTGTAGTCATGCTTTTAATCAACTCTTTAAATGATTTACACTTTGACTCTTTTTTGCCACCTTTAATGTGTGAAGTTGTTTCTGTTCTTCCGACTTTGTTTTTTTGGTGGGCGCCTCTTAGGTGTGTAACCTTGCTTAGTAGGTGTGGAAGAATGCTTCGGACTACCTCATAACCTTTTTTGTGACATTTGCTTGCTATCATGCAGCTTCACTTTATCACAAGAGGGTTATATCTCATACCTTTAGGGTGGGGCTTTTGCTTATTTTTGGTAAGTTTTCCTTGCTTTGCAAATTCCTCCTCCTATTTCTTCAGTGAGGTTAAAGTGTCAGTAAGTAGAGCATAGCGAACAGAATTTTCAACAAGCCAATGATTTTCAATGGCAATATCCATTAGTTTAGCAAGGTCAGATGATTTGGGTTGAAAATTTTTTGGTGCTTTCACATTTTTTTGTTTCTCTTTTAGGTACAAACTGTAATATCGTTTTGCTTTTTTTTGGCTTTGAGCAACCACTTTGTGTAGATTTTTTGCTCTGGCTATGAGTTCAGCACGTGAAAGAGTACTGAGTTTAGTGTTTGAATCATAGGCTGTTTTAGACTCAAATGATTCAGATGAAGGATTTGTTTTCCAACGAAAGCAAGATCGTAAAATATCTTGACATTTGTGGCATCTGGTTTTTGAATGGACAGGTAGTTTGTAGGTGCAATTTAAGCTCCTAACGCACTTGACAATCTCTCCATCTACATTTGCTCCTTTTTCATCCACAAAGTATAAATTTGTTTCCCTTTTTCTTTCAGCCATATCAACAAGGGCTGGATCATATATACCTGGACAAACCGGTAAGTTTTCAATAGTTTTAAGCATGACACCCAAAGCAGAGTTTAATATGTTTTCTTGAAAAATATTGTGTGGGAGTTCCCCATGGTCAATTTTGTTACCCAAGAATTCTACTGTAAATGGACTAAAATCCTTTGAAGGAAATGTTTTTATTTCAGAAGGAAGAAAAAGGGTTAACTCCTTCCACTTGGTTATTACACCACCTTTTCCAATATTTGGAAGAGAAAAAGTAACCTTCACGGTATTATCTGTAGTGTGGTGAGTAAATGACACTGTCCATGGAAAAATACATGAAAGAATTGTTTGAAAAACTGTATAAACTGGCAGAGGTGATGACTGTACTTCACTGTCATTTCCTGCATCTACTGGTTCTTTTGGAGCAGTTTGTGTCATTATTTCATTCAACACATCTGTAAAAATACCTGCTTTACAGTTTAAAGCATCAGACACAGCAAATTCTCTATCCAAGACCATTTTTTCTGATAGCACAGTGGCTTGTCCTTTAGTTGGATTAATAGTTGTTTCTTCAAAAAACTCATGCTTGTTGCTGTCATTATCTGTCATTATTGTGGAAATTGAACAACCTTGTTTTTGGTAGAACATGTTTTGAGCTTCTTTGTACTCATGCTCTATTTTAATGGATTTTAAATAGAAAGGCTGACATGACATGCATATGTAGTCTGGAAAAGTTCCATCACAAGGATCTACACTATACAAGTCATTATGTAAATCAGTCTTATTGCCAGTTCTTTCATCCAAAAAATTGCATCCCACTGAAAACATATTTTTAAAACTATTTATGTGGTGTTTCTTGCAGGGAACATCACTACTCAGGCAAACCTTGTTGCCACATTGTGAACAAGGCACTATACATGGTGTAACTTTCAGGATGCCCAGCTGGGCATCGCTGCATGATCTAGTGGAGCTTTTCCCCTTAGGAGGCTTATGCCCTCTTGCTGATAAACTGCCGTAATGTTTATCACATACCCTAAGATCTTTGAGATTTTCAGGTGTAACATCATCAGGGGCACATTTCAGTTCATACCGCCCAACCATACTATCAAATTTTCTTGATCCTGCCTCATTCTCACATCCCTTCAGACAGCATTGTACACCTCCCATCAATCGCCCATGCATAAAAACTGTTCCTCTTATTTCTTCCGAAAGTAAAAAATCAAATAAAGGCTTTCCACAGCTTGACAACCAGTACAAATCACTCGTTATTCTGAATTTAGTATTTATTTGAGATCTTAGATCTTTTATTGTGGCATATGGTGCAAAAGGGGGGGTGTGTGGCTTGCCTGTTATATCAACAATTTGAATTGTTGTCATCAACCTTTTAGATCTTATCAACATGCTAAAAAGGAAACCAGGGTGGTGTAATTTAAGCAGTCTGGGACAGGGATAACTTAAAAGTACACCAAATGAGAGATATAAAATTGGAAAAAGGAGTGGCATTTCTGTACAGGATCTGGAACTGACATCAAAGGTCTCCCCAAATAGTCACAACATGTAAGCCCACAAAGAATGAAAATGGGAGTGCAGAAATTATCAGCAAAAAAGCAGCAGTTGCCAAGTAAACAGGATATTGAAGTTCACAGTTTAAAGAACAATTTTTTGTAATACCAAGGTTCAGTAAAAAGCCATGAGAAACAAAAAGGCACACGGTCATTAGACAGGAGAAAAAAAGCTGTGATTTTAATCTCCAAAAATATTGTACCAGTGAAACGTTGAATTGAGGCTTTACATGTAACAAAATTTTGTAAACTGGATCAAGCAAAGATAGAAATAATTTCAAGGTAATAACAGCAGGGAATAGAAGCATTTCTAACAAACAATTTAAAGTTGATCTATACTTAATCATTTGCCTTAAAGAAACCATGCACAATACTTTCCTGAAAACAAAAACGTCAGTGTAAAAAGAATGGTGGTTAAGGCTAAAAGGGAAACAAGGAAGTTTGAGAGGTTGAAGTTTTGAATTACCTTCACTTTGAAGTGGATAATAAAAAAGGACAAAACAGAGGAGACCAACATTTTTACTACATGAAAAGATTTACTTTGTAACTCAAAGGAGTGAGGGATTTGTGTCTCCAAAAAAGATGGGGGCTTTGAAGGGATGCAGAGGGCACATGGAAGGTTTGAAAGGCCTGGGAAAGATATTGCAACTGGACTGCAAAAACAATATGGACATGCACAACAGCCATCACAAGATACACAATCTTATGATTGTGAGGACTAAAAAGCCAAGCAATGTCAAAATATAAATCATACAACAAGAGGCCCATTGTCAAATATATACATAATGAAATATTTTTATTCATCATGATGTTTTCTTCTTCTAAAGTAAATAATTATAGATATATATTATATAAATATGATCTTACTTTATTAATTTTCTCCCTAAGTAATTTTTCCTTTTTAAAATAATATAACTTCTTAAATTAAGCTTAATGTACTTTTTATTTAAAATATTTTTTTCTGTCTCTTTTATATGTCTTTAATATTGTTATTATTGTTTTTTTCTCAAGCAATAGTCACACTAAATTAATTAAAAGAATAATCTTTTTAAAAGGCAAATACAGAAGCCAACAACACTGCTAACAAGCAACAACAACAATGACACAGGCAAGTAAAATACGGGGGAAAAGCCAACAAAAAACTGCAGACAAATGCAAATAGCAAATTTTACCAACAATAACAAAACAGAATAAAACAACCAACAGCAGTTAATTTTCAAAGCAGTAAAGGCCAGCAATTACTTTGATCAAAACAGAGGGGCACCAGATTAACCAGCAAACCTTAGACACAAGCAGTAAACAAACAAGCAAACTTAACACACAATGACAGCGTTAAAGTCTGCAAAATTTACCCCAGACAGTCAAGAAGCCAAGAAACCACACGCGATTCAACACAGTATCTTCACATTCAAAAGGATTGATGAGCAAAATGGCCCGTTACATCAACACAAATCAACTATCGTATCAAACTTCTGTTATTAATGAATTAAACCTCCTCTTCTGAGGAGATTTGGTTGGCAATTTAAAGAGAAAACGGCTGACGTTTAGGGTGGATTTATCTAGTTCCGAGTTCAAAATGGCGCCCACGTCACTGACCCGAAGTGCATTGGAGTAGTATTTAACACAAACGTGCGGACAAAACAAACACAGCTTTTACACACAAACAATATAAGCAACAAAGCTTGCACACTTACGACAAATTGTTTTACCAACGCTGAACAAAAGCCTGTATTAGCCCTTTCTTTTTTTAACTTCGATGGCTTCTCCACGCTAAGGGACGGACCATTAGAAAACTTATGGGGGGGGCGGGCGAAGTACAAAAAAAAAATTCGCGCAAGGGAAAATTAAATGAAAAAAAATTCTTGCAAGTCAATTAACCCTAAGAAATATTCATGCGAGGGCCTGAAAAAAATTCATACAAGGAATTTGATAACGAAAAAAAATTCCTGCAGCTCGAAAATTCCCCTCCCCCCCCATAACTTTTCTAATGGTCCGTCCCTAAACTGATCAAGCGACCCGAAGCTCTGAGTCGTTGCTATGTGACGTCACACTGTCATGATGACTCGGTCACAGACAAATACCCGAAAACAATAGAGACGCCTCCTCCCTCCTGCAGAAACGTTTTCGTGAAGTCTTCGGAAATGCTCGGATTTTGATCTTTTATCTTTCTATAAAGGCTTGGGAAGAAAAATCTTTACCCAAATCTCACTTAGGATGGTTCTTTTTAGTGTTTGGTGAAGGTAAAGCGACAAAAGAAAATATGTCAATTTTTTGGTTCATTTGACCTTTAATGGCCGTCACCAAGCGGATGTGTTTATCGTTTGTTGTTTTTCCCCTTCGCGCGTCTCACGTGAGAGAGGAAGTTGAAGATCGATGAGTCGGCAGAAGTTTATGACGTAAGGGAGAACTTTAATAATGTTTGCGGCATATAAGCAGATGTCATTCCTTTAAGTCACAGCGAAATAGTTAATTTGAATTTTCCTAAATGGAGTCGATGAAGGGCTGCCAAACTCAAACTAACGTGCTATCACCTTTATCGCCTGCCATCCCAGCTACAGAATTGGAGGGAGTACGCGATATGCCAATGCAGAGCTCACATGAAGCTGACTTGGAACATGCAATTTCACACTCTCCTCAAGAACAACCAGTAAAACCTAATTGTCCTCGCTGTTGCGAAGATACATGTATGCTCAAAACCATCAAAGGTAGGTGATTTTTTTTGGGGGGATGGGGGTTTGCTGTACCATTTTATTCTGTCTAAGTTTGTAGCTTTGCATTTTGTTTCTTCATACAACATGAAAATATGCTTATATTGGATTACAATATATACATAGTTAAAATATCATAATAAAAGCAAAGGGAGATAACAAATATTAGTAAAATGTAAAATCCAACTAGGGGTCTATTATCGATGCTGCATTCTGATTGGTTGAGCTACTACTAGGCTATATGTTATAGCCCCCTGGTAGCGAAAAGCGCTGGCTTTTTGGTGGTAAAAAAAGGATTAAAGTCTAGCTTTTAACTAGCTAAAAATTTTTTTACTCAATATTTTTGACCAACTAGTTGGATTTTACTAAAACAATTATTATTCCTCTCGCCCTCCTGGCCTCTGAGTCAATAGCCCATTCAGCCTTCGTCCTCATGGGCTATTGACTCAGAGCCCATTCGGGCTCGAGGAATAATTGTTAATTATCAGTACAAGAGCAAGAACTAAGAGCAAGCAATACTTAATAGTGTACTAATGGAGATATTTTCAGTAAATGATAAACAGTGTGCCAGAATTTGGCATTCATTTGATTCATATATTAATTTGATCATCCAAATAAAATAAATTGTATGTTAAGACCTCTGATGAAGCCAGAAGCCAAGTTTTTAAGCTATAGGTCTAGAATACTGTTTTTATTATTTGCTGTAAGAGGACATCAATTCTGTATTATGCAAGATAATATAAAAAAAATCAATTATCATTTGAAAGTTTGGCCATGTACATCAGCAAAACTGATTGGTTCACAGTTTAGGCAAATGGTAAGCAAAATTCAGGAGTGTACCATTTGCACAAAGAGTTCCATATTTTACCAAAAAATGGCTGTGAAGGCCTGAAACTTGTATCAAAGATGGCCTTGAAGAAATTCTACATGAATTTCTGTTTGGAACATTTTGTTGGGAGAAACAGGTCTGGACTACCTTCTCAGATGTTGATCCATTGTTTGCACTGATGCAACATTACCCAAGAAGTAAATTTTACCTTCCAACCGAATTATTCTGGAAACTTTTTGTAAATAGTGAGCAACCTCTAACAGTGTTATTTAAGAGCTGCTTCTATTTTAATCTTTTAAGAAACTGCAACTGTCAATCCAAGAAGTGATGTAGTAACAGAAAGTCAGCTTGCAAGTATCTGTCATGAAGTAGGGACTTGCTGGCGTGAGTTGGGACCAAAGCTAGACATTTCAGCATCAAAGATTTACAACATTAATGAGGAGTATAGAGGTAACTGGCACAAAGCAAATGCTCTTTTGATCTTGTGGAAACAACAGGAAGGAAGTAATGCCACAGTCGGCCATCTAGCAGATGTTTTGGAGAAGATAGGAAGAAGAAGCATTGCTGAAAAACTGCTTGGTACGTGAGTACTAATGAATTCCAGTACTGTAAAAATTTGCAGTTCATCAAGTTCATACAAAACAAATGTACATCATTACAGTTTATGTAACTGCTTGTCCAAAAACTGAGATCCATATGTTGTTAACAAAAAAAAATCAAGATGTACTGTAAATTCACCACCTTAGATACCTGAGTATGCAGTATATTTTATGCAGTTGACTTTAAAGCCAATGACACCGTTCAGCATTTTTGAACATTGATCACATTGACAACAACAATAAATGTTGGAAATTTTGCCAAAAAATTGGTAGCCCGCGTAGCTGGTGCTATTGTGTAGTAGTCGAGTGAGAGTTGGTGGCGAAGCTGTAACAAGCGGTGTAAGCTGCTCAAAATAGAAATACCGTCGGCCAGGGAACCATGATTTTTCAAATGCCGCCCACTTTTATCACCTCAACTTAGCGGACCTCTTAGGCAATAGATGTTCATTTCAAGACTTCAAAAGGTCACTTTTTGTGATTTGTGATTGTTGGATTTCGATCCGTTTTTATTTCAAGTTTCCTTGCTTGTGAGCGTCCTGTTTTGGGCAATTATTGACTTGTTTGCGGTGGTTTTTCTGATCTTTCTTAATATGAATTGTTTTCCTCAGCCTCACTTGTAAGTCTGCCTCCTTCCTCCTTCCCTCAACAAAAATACTGTTGCGATTTCCTTCACTATTAAGCAGTCAAGAGTTATCCTCAGTTTTTGCTCTTGCCGAACCCTGTGGGCAAAATTGCCATAACATCACGTCCAGCAAAAAGCTCCTTCACAGCTGTTTCCTGCCCCCTATTAGAATAATTTTCTGCTTCTCTTTGCTCACATTGAGATCTTCTAGAGCTTTATCGATACTTAATTCAGCCGAGTCCGCCATTATATTCCCCAAGAGTTTACCATCTGCTCCCTTGGGAAAATTGCGAAGGATGGTCTAATGTGATTGACATATGTATGGCCCTCGACCAATCCATTTTCTCCGCACAATGGTGTGTGGACTGTTCAAAGTACCGGGGTTTTCTGGCAGGCAGTATGTCTTGTCCCCACTCCCTTTTTTAGATCATGGCTTTGCCAGCAGAACTTTAATTGCGCGCTGAGACAATACCGCCAGCTATGCAGGCTAAAAGATTGGTTAAAGTTGTTCAAAAACTGTCAGTTGGAACTTGTGGAACAGTGGGATTGGAGCTTATCTCTCATTTATCAATGTGAAAAATGTTTGATACATTCAACACTGTGCATCAAACATTTTTCTAGATCTGTTGAACTATGGAGCTGTTGATCAATCAACAAACCTTTAAGGGTGTGTAACTGAGACAAGGTCAAGCAGTCAATTAGAGCTTTTGAATTAGCCTTTTTTAAGAAATCATAGTGCATTCCTTGGAAATTTTCTGGATCAGGATCAGTGATCTGAAACAGTCGGATCATGAAACTTAATGAATTGATGAATCCTTTCGAAAGTGGTGGATTTGTCGTTTTCTTTCATGTTTCAGGATCTGAGTGATCTTGGATCACTGATCCTGATCCGGATCATCCCAATTGAATTTGCACCATTACTCTATCATGGATATTCATAGCAATTTTATAGAGGGCATACACTGATCTCAAGCCTGCATTCAAAGTGTCAGTCATTCAACATAAAATTTCCAGTCAAACTGACTACTGGTAAATACATTTCCTTGGTGATGATATGACTCAACATCAACATTTTGAAAGATAACATTATATGAATAAATTGGTTGTTTTTAGGAGACAGTAAAGCATTTGAGTTACCAACATGTATACCAGTTTCCACAGTTGGTGATGTGATCAGTTTAACAGTGAATGCCATGCAGGATAAGGTGAAGAATTAAAAATTATTTTATTTGTGTAATCAAGCCAAGGTTTTGTTATGTGACTGGTCAACTTTTTTGTCTTTAAGTACAAGTAGCAATCATATCTAAGCAAGTAATAACAAAAAAATAATAATGGTAAGTTAATTTGTTACATTATTAAATTACAGTTAACAATTATTCTTTGAAATGAAGGTGAATAGTGGCTGAGTATTTACCGAACCACGAAGTGGCAAGGTAAATATTCCTAAAGCCGCGACTATTCACCAAGATTGAAAAGAATAATTGTTTTATTATATACACACGAAGTGATCTCAACAAAATCAGAGAGGAAACCATTAAAAAGTATGATTTGATTGACAGATTAAGTCATACGAAAGTTTAAAATAGATCTTTTTTTTTATACAACAACACTTTATTTCATAATTTTACATACAAAGAAAAAATTACAAAAATTGTAGAAAACTAGAAAAAAAGTAGCAAAATTACAGTTTACACAATAGCTTTAAACATAAAGGAAAACAAACAGACAGACAACTCAAACAGGACAGTTAAAGTATTAAATCTTTTAGTCTACAGAGCGCCGCCTACAGTTCACTTCCACAGAATAGTACATTCGTTTAAAGAGGGGAGGTTTTTAATCGATTTTTAATCTTATTTTTAGATGATACTGAAGCCTGAACGGCCAAAAAAATTTTTGTTGGAGACCGGCTCCTCCCCCCCTTATCTCAAGGGACTGCCCCCACCCCCTATCTCAAGGTCTGGATCTGGCACTGTGCAGGAAGGTGTTGCCATCAACCATTTCTCAACACTCAATGATGATGTCAGAAGTGGTTCAAGGGTTGTCACTTAAGGATCCATGGGTGGTTTCAGGTGCATTAAGTGTGAATCATGAGTAAACCTTTTTCTAATATTTTTTTTACAGGAGTTGTATTGTGAAGATGCTCATGGAAATAAATTCATTGTCAAAGCAGTTACTAGAAGCCTAGACCAATGCCATTCTGAGGAGGTAAACTAATCATTTGTCAATCATCCAGTCAAGATATTAGTCCGTTTCTTAACCTGTTGCTTCAGGCTCTGTGGCCTAGGGGTCCATATAAAAGTGATGGGGATGCTCGTTAAAAAATTGAAATCAAACCCCCAAGGGAGACCAATGTGGGTGTGGCTCAATGGGCAAACACCCTAAGTGCAGACACAGATATGCAATTTACACCTCCAAGCAAGAGGATGAGCATCCCCTATCACTTTTATATGGGAGTCCCACTCCCAGGCTCTGCAGAATCACTTCCTTGTACATTTACTTGCTTTTTTTCTAATTTAATGGCAACACGGTACTTCAATGGTTAGTTACTATAAGTATTTGAACCATCTTGTGGCAGGTGCAGAAGAATAAGATCCTAGACAGAGAAGCTGTAACTGCTCAGGATATGGAAAAAACAGAAGAGCAAAAACTCCAAGAACGCTTGAAGCGCTATTCCTTAAGGATTGAGGAGCTAACTAAGGAGGTGGAAGGACTAAGATGGCAATTTAAACAAAAGGTGGACTGTGCTGATTATGATGGAGAAACATCTACAACGATTAGCAGTACTAGAAGGGATGCACAGCCATCAGAGGTGCCGGAAAAAGTACAACAACAGGATGCAGTACAACTGCTTGTTTCATGTGAAGAACATAAAGCAAATTTCAAAGGAATTTACTATGGCCTCATTGACAGGATTGGTGAGCTTAAACAACTAGGAGAAGATAATGTCATGTGTATTAAACATCTTTTTGCCTCTGTTAAGGAATTCAGAGATGGTGTGGAAAAAATATTTGTCCCAAAAGTGACATTTCTTCACAGTATGAAGCAACAGTTAGATGAGAATCATGCAGCCCAAGTTGAAGAATTAGAGCAATGGAGCAAGACACAAAAAAAGCAACTTGGTGAAGTTGAAAAGCTGCTGTTGAGTGTGCTTTGTCAGGAGAAAATTAGTCGGGTATGTTTTGGAATAACATAACTTCTAATGTTTTACATATTTTTAGTAATTATTGTTTCAAACTTTGGTTTGATATCTTTAAGTCACTGAGAGGGGTACCTGGATGTAATTCACAAGCTGATGAAATAGAAAATTTTATTGGGTGATAGACCATAGGTGATACTGTCTTTGCCAGATTTCACAGGGCAAAGACAGTATCACTGGTTCTTTTTGCTGCTTCGATGGCAAAGTAAAAATGGCAGTCCTGTCTTCTGTAGGAGACTTACTCTGGGCTCACACAGGTTATGCTGGAAAACCTGGAAAGCCATGGAATTTAAGAATTTCATTTTCCAGGCCTGAGGGTCATGAAATTTAATCGTGGGTCCTTGAAAGCCATGGAAAATTAACGTTTTGTGTGATAGATTAGCTACCTCTCGGAATACTTCAGATGACAAAGCAAGGACAATGTAAGATAAAAGAGGAGTACTTAAACAGCGCGAGCGAAACCTGAGGCCATGGGAAAAGTCATGGAATCTGAAAAGCCCAAAAGAGTACGAACCCTGTTACTGTTGATAAATACATTGACACTGAACAAATTATTTTTTTAATTTAATAGGAGGGTTTATACCAGAATCAGCAAATCAGGAATAATAATTATTTAGACACGACACTTCCTTTTTGTCCTTTATCTAAGGGCACTTTCCATTTGTCAGAACTGACCGGCTGGACCATGGCTGGAGCAGTCATTTTTACAATGAAATAGGCTTTTTCCAAGAGTTTTCGCTGAAAAACCAGCTCCTTCATGCATAGTATTTAGGATTTGACTTATTTGGTTGAATAGTTTTGATTAAAAGTGAAATTCTCGTTACTACGGGAATGGTCTGGCCTGCCAGTTCTGAAAAAAGAAAACGCCCTAAGACCAAGACTTTCCTCTAAGGAAAATGTGGAATTTTATGACTTGCAGGATGTACTAAAGTAGTACACTTATTTGTTTGTTCTTTAGTGCCAGGCAGAATCCCGTGTGACTATGATGTCATCCTCTGGAACTAAAGGAAAGGTAATTAGTGAATGGGCTTTATTTTTAACCCCTTGCCAAAAGCTTAACTATCTCTTTGCCATCATTTGAATGTTTGGTAACATATCAAGGGTTTCCTAAAACAATTAACTAGATTTCTAGCTTATCGCTGAAAGGAAACCTCTTTACTTTCACGCTAAGACGGTCAAGACCAGCTCCTTAGTCCTGACTCGTGTATTTTGTGTCTCTCTATAATGCATAATTTCATTTTAAAAATGTGTACAAGATGATTTGACGTCCAGTAGCTCACAGATAGCACATATTTCTGAATCAGTTAATTTTTGATAATAGTCACCAAAAAGAGTACTTTTTTGTATAAACAGACAAAAAAACAACAACGACAACAAAAATCAAAACTAGCAAATTTTTACTAAAACATGAAGCTTAGACTACGAGTAGTCCCTCATTGTAACGCTTACGAATTACGCGAAAGCGCGTGAAAATGGCTACGTGTGAGAAAATGGTAACATTTTTTGTCCGCCATCTGCTTGTCATCTTCCGTGCCGATGGATGGCGATTCACGCAATTTGCTTTCTCTTCCTTCCTGGAGGAAACTGAGGGACTGCTCGTATAGCGTCCAGTAAGCTGGGCCGGGCCTCAGCCTATTTTGATTGCCTTCAGATTTGAAAGTTTACTTACGTCTTTTCCACTCTTCAACTGTCTGCCAATATAGAGCTTAAGATTCTAAGACGAGGACCACTTCAAGAACGAGTTTTTCCAATACTAATTTGTGCGCGCGCTCGAACCAACGTCATGTAGTAGATGTCATCCGTCTACTACGAGTTTTAGCGAGAATGTCGTAGTGGCGAAAACAGGTTTATCAAATGTTAGAAATTTTAGGGCTTAAATACCTCCTTCAACGGGTGCGTGCTAACTCTTGTGGTGAAAAAAAGCACAGTGAAGTTTTCCGGGGTGTCTGTGTTTAGAGAATAGGTGAGAAAACTTCAATGTCGCCCTCGTAGTCGTCCTAGTCCCTGAATCTAAAGCTTTCTAATATATTATAAATGATTAATATAATAAAACCATTGTTTTAAAATGCTAGGACAAATGTACATGTGGATTTTTTCTTATTGTGTAGAAAACTGGTTTCCCAACTACACTATGATTGAGGCGGGTTTTCGGTGAGGTTTTTCTGACAATCTTTAATTTGTTAAAAATTGTTTAAACAATTTTCTCTAGGGATTGAGAACTTATTCGTTCAAAGGTTCTTCAAGGTCTCAAACGATCGAAGAACGTCTATACTTGAATCAGAAGTGCGATGATATATCAGCACCTTTTTGTCCACAACAAATGTCCAGTATATATATTTAGACACGGACAAGAAACAAGAGGAAAAAAGGTTTGTAGTATTACATTTTTTTTAATGATTATTTTCTGTGAGTTCTGTGGATTCTAATGAAATTTGACTTATTCTTAACCATTTATTAATTTATCAAGAAAATACACAGAGCAACGCTACGCCGTGGTGGTCATAAAATAGGCTTTTTTTACATTATGCGTTTGTTTGACCACTAAAATGCGGTATGCTTCACTTCCATTTTCGCCACTAAAATGCTCGGTCGCCCCTCCGCAAAAAAAAAAAGTCATTTAAAAGCTCGGATAATGCTCACCGCATCCTCGGGGACCCAGGGAAAGTCAGTTGTGTCGTGAGAAAAGGCGCGGAAAGTTTTCAAGCACGGGTGGAAGAGCCGCTGGGTAGCGACTCTTACCAGACCATTTCCGAACTTTCGGGCGAATGCTGGCTCCTGATTGGGCTCAAAAAATGCTTTGTATTACTGTGCCCAATCGGCGAACAGCAAAAACTATCCCGAGTTCTTTTCGTGTTTTCTAACACGACGGCTATTGTCTCGCCATACTTTTTCGGTTCGTTAACCAAGGTTGTGCATGCTAGGGAAACTGTTATTTTCTTCTTTCCTAACCAGAAACGAAGGAACTACCGACGATTCCAGAAAACGTTTCGGATGCTATCAGCAGGACCATTCCAAAGGCTTTTTATTAATGCTAAGCATTTAAGAGAATGAAAGGCTAACAAAAATGTTCAAGTGGCATGATTACGTTGTATACAAGATTTATAACTTTAATACAACAAATTTGAAATTTGAGTTTCGTCATTTTCTCTTCAGAATGTTTCAATGTTATTTTCTCAGAGGAAAAAAAAATATTTTCCGGGAAAATGCTCACTAAAACGCTTGAAAAAAAAATCTTAGCATAATGTACGAAAGCCTAATCATCCTTGTCGGATAGATTCTGTGGCACCACCCCGGGGGGGGGGGGCACTTCCTTATATAAGCCGTATAGGTATGTGCCGCCCCAAAGGGAAGGATTTTTGTGCCGTTTCGGTCTAAAAACGGGTATACACTTTGCTCATTTTGGTCTGGAATCGGGTATGGTTTTCGAGGAAACTCCGTGTGAACGTGTGAACGTATTTATCGTTTCAGGTCCAAGTGAATCAAAAAAAGAGCAATATGCGAATTCGAAAGGGATTTTTTAAAATCTAGTTGTTTGAGCTCTAGTAAAGAAATGATGACTTAACTTCTAAGTATACCAGGTCTGGAAATGGGTTTGGATTTAAGAGACCGGGTCTGAAAACGTGTGTGGAAAATAACACTTTTTAATCTGACATAGGGTCAGGATTTGGATAACCGGGCGGCATACCCCCACCAAAAATTCCCGGGAATATCCCCCCAGGGCCACCACCCTGGCGCGGTGTAAGTGCGAATTAAAAACTATCCGTTGGTCATAGTCAAAGATAGTGAGTAACCTAACGGCAACCAGTTTTAATCATTGCAAAAGAAAAATGATTATAAAAACAAATCTCCGGAACCTGTCTCTGTTTGAATCTTCCATCATAAAGTATTGAATGTGGCCTGCACTCATCTAGTCTTGTGGAGAGGAGCGTTGCGTGACAACCCTAAAATGAAGGAGACTAGCAATCATCATAGTTTATTGGTAAATGAGCCATGGCCCTTTTGTAAAACGCCTTCGTGTTTTTGAAACGAATTGTAATTACTATTTTAATTTGTATTCTGTACATTAAGTTTGCATAAAATCATTTCATACGACCTATTTCTTGTTTCTACTTTTCAGTCTCGTTGTTCACTTGTTTACTACATCACGAGTACAAGATGAGTCGTCAGCCATAAAATAAAGTGCAAGGTGAAATTTGTCAAGAACTTAATGAACGTCACTCCCTCAACTTCAGGGAATTACAATCATTCTTAGCACAAGTGAGGCAGTTTCATTGTTAGAATTATTACAACCACTGAGGCGAAATGGAACTGGATAAAGAGTTATTTAGCGTAACTATATACGACTCCGAAATTACTTATTGGTAATCCAATTTTTTAAATTATCATTGGCGTTTTTCTTATTTTAAGATACCATCAAACAATCCGTGAAGTAGCCTGCGAACGAGCGGCGATGAGGGAGGAGAAACGTCTGCCTTTCGCAGGCTATCCGTGAAGTAATTTTTGGAATTCTCTCTTAACTATTTTTAAATAGCTAAAAGAGAGGTATGTCAGTCCGAAAAATAAATGCGTTGTAGTATGAACAAGCTGAATCGGCCAGCAGTCTAGTAGAAATGTTTAGTTTTGTGGAAAGAACACTGTTTGACTATAGATGACTTTCCAGGCAGTCATTATTTTGACTTGTAATTTTTGGTTTGTTTTTGGTTCTTTCTTAGCCTGCGAGCAGCTCTCCAATTATGGCGAGCAAAGCGAACCTGGAGAGAACGCGCGAGCGAGGGCGGAGGCCCCTCGCACTGGAGAGCTTGCTCGGAGGCGATTTTTTTCTTTGTCACTATGCTACTGTACTTCCTGGGGCCGGAGGTTTTCTTCGTCTTTCCTCGCGCTTGAAGCGTCGCAAAGATGGAACGAAAAAAACGAGCCAAAGCCAGAGCGTGAAAAAGTTAGTATAGTTTGTCAAGGAAGAAAACCCTTTAAGAGCAGGAACACAAGGCTTCATCGACAGACAAGTGTTTTTTTCGTTAAATGAAATGCCAATGTGATCCACGGATCATAAAAATGCTTATATCTTTCAACGAAAAATCCAATTGATCGCGATGTCCAAAAGTTGGAAAATACAGTTCTGCGAACTTTTGGCCATTGAATAAAAGTTGGCCGTTTAATGATAGAGGTTCTATTTGCAATGCCAATAGTTAACTGACAATCTTTTACCTCTGGGACTGTGGTAACTGGCCGCTGTAGAGTATCGACCGTGTTTATTCGATTAAGGGCCCCGGGTGAGTGTAGGCGCTTATTTGAGGCTGGGTGCTTATTACAACTTTCAGCAATGACAATGGTATATAGCAACAAAACATGAAGATGTTGCAAAGCAGAATTTTAACTGTTCACTGAAGCCGTTTGTTTAAGAAACTCTGTCTTCACGGAAGTCTCTTTTTTGCAATAAAACAACCTTGTCCACTTCAATCTCCTTGTCACTAAGGTTCATTTTTTGGTAGGGTGTGGTAGGGGGTGGGCATTTATTCGAGGCTGGGCGCTTATTAACTTTTCCTACCTATAGGGTGGGCGCTTATTCGAATAACTACGGTATATGAATGCTTTTTTTGCTATTTTCAAAAAGAAGCTATATATTTTTTTAAAGGTACTAGCCTGCTATATTTATAGGACGCCGGTGAGTCTGTTTATTTTCTAGGTGTCACATTAAAAGGTAGTAGATTATAATTAAAGTTCCCATGGTGGTGGAACAAAATACTTCTTTAACAAATTTCTGCTGTGCAGACGTGAACGTATATTAAAACGATGAAAAACTTAATCAAATCCGCAACTTACTTGATTCATATAAGCTTACCATCCCCTAATGAAACCTGCGCTGACACTTCTCAAGTCAACAGAGAAATCGAAGTTTCGAACACAAGAGATAATGTGAATTCAATGAACGCTTTTATTGGCAGCACAGTACAATGTAGACGCATAGCAGGACAGCTGACGCATGGTGAATTTTTCTTCTGTTCAAGTCAACATAACAATGTGATGTGAACAATAGCGACCAACCTTAAAATCAGATTAGCATTGCTAATACGTGCAGCATTGTTGCAATCTTCGACAAAATAAATGGAAATTTAGGGCCGGTGCACGTGTACATGGAGATGAAGGACCCCACCCTCTTGGCTGGGGTAACCCACTTGTCTATATATAAAATCTCTCATATGGTCACCCCACCTATTATGTAAACGTGATCAAATTAAAATGAGAGGTTATATTGACAGGCGGGTTACCCCAAACCTAAGCGGGTTTTCTCACCTACCTGGGATACCCCACCTCCCGCGTCCGAGGGGGTTTAGGTCGGTGGGATATATTGTTTTATGACGTTCCCGTTGCCTCGAGGGAGCTTTAGCATCGACGACGGCAACGGCAGCGAAAACGACAGTTTTAAAATGAATTCCCTTTTTTTCAATCTTTGTCGCGTTTTTTCCAATTTGCTGATAATGGCAAGTGTAGGCGAATTTACTTGGAGTTGATTTCTTGAGGACCGCACTCAAATTTAGAGAGAGAAAAAGAGATTCGTCGTCGTTTGTTTACGTCCTCCGTAAAACTTGCAATTAGGCATTTTCACATCGTAGTCGTGCAAGGACGGTAAAGAAATGTACAAAAAAGCGTAATGCAGGTGCAAACTTGTTTTTTTGCTAATATAAACCTATTGCTTTTTTGACATCTTCTTTGCCGTCACCCTCGTCGTTGCTATAGCTCCCTAAATGGTTTCGTAAGGTCCCTACTTTTAGTGCCCAACGAATTTACCAATCGATGATTATGTCAATGTTTACGTATTGCGACTATAGTAGTCTTGGATGGTTAGAGTCCCGCAAAAGCATGATCCGCTCCATTGAGAAACGAAGCCTCGAAATCATTTCCCCCAAATGCAGTCAGAAGAACTGCGATCTTCGATTTTTAATAATTTACAATGGTTTGTAAACCAGAGCGTGCTGTTTTGTATTTGACTGCCTCCTAAGAATGGAACTGCACGTTTCCCATTTAGGAACTATTTTCAACGATTTCACCATAATTCTTTAGTTTTAATGAGTAAAACAACAACTCTGCACGTGCATCACGCTTTTTTGTACATTTCTTTGCCTTCACTGTACAACTAAAGGCCTGTTTACATGGAGTGGGGGACCCCGGTCTAGTGGGGTTGGTTTCTTTTGTTTTCACGCTCTGGAGGACACAAAACAAAAGAAACTTACCCCACTAGACCGGGGTCCCCCACTCCATGTAAACAGGGTCTAAGACGTGAAATCACCATTTATGTTTACTTGGGAACGGGAACGGCAAGGCGATAAATTCTACCATCTCTGTCTGAACTCGGGCGCGTTCTCCTCTCTTCAGCTGCAGCCCAAATCCCCTTCTTTTAAATAACAGGGCGAAATGGGATAAACGCGAAAAAGTTTAAAAGGAGGCGAAGTCTATTATTAAGTGACGCTTTCATGGACGTCGCCGTTGTCGGATCGTAAGGTCCGGCTAATATCCATAGGGACTTAAAGGGCTGCAAGACGCGACCGGAAGTAAATTTTCAGAGGAGACATGTTGCGCATGCTCACGCCGTCGTCCTGGATAAGCAATTTGACTCAATTCTCGATCCCAGCTCTCCTCAACCTGATGATAAACAAGATGGCGGACGAAGCGTCCGCCATATTGCTTTTGATTTGTTCAAATGAGGTCTGGGTCAAAGTGACCTATGATTGGTCCACGGCCTTGTGCTTATGCTAGTGCTTATGTCGACCCAGTTTTCACTAGTCAAGGCTACGACATAAGCATAAGCACAAGAACAAGAAGAACGAACTTGTCCCTTTTTCTTGTGCTTATGCTTATGCTTATGTGCTCTTGTGTAGACCCAGTTTTTACTTGCTTACACACGTGCTTGTGCTTATGTTTACGCTTATGTTTATGCGCTAGTAAAAACCAGGCTTAATGAAACGGAAGTCTAATTTCTGGGACGTCCGTACATTTTTATAATCGATTATCAATTTGAAACGTAATCAAGTCCATGCGCGACCGCTCCAAAGCAAAAATGTAATGGCGACACACCACAGCAATAAAAGTCCTATTACTCTCTCTGGACAATACTTAATAAAAGTTTGCGGACCTCTCCGGAAACCAACTTCCGACTGATTTCAAGGGTTTTTTCTAAAAATAACTTTGGTGACATTCACATATCCCAAGGGTTAGACTAGGCGTTCCCCTCTCTGTTCCTTCACCTTCTTGTGAATGGCTGAGAAGTGAGGGTAAACTGGCATGGTGTGTTGGAGATGCGATTAATGCGCAGAACCGCTTTCATAATTTAACTGAATAGTACATGTGTATCACTTTTAGTTCTAATATGAACAGAGGAAATCGTCACGGAATTATACTAATCATGAACGTGGAAAGTGAATGGAACAACACAGTAAACAAAATTCAGATTATATTAGCTATTTCATTCACAAAAACAAACGGGCGTTTGGGGCGGCGGGGGTGTGGGGACGGGGAAGGCTATGCTTGGGGCAGTCGACAAATCTGCGCAGTTTTTTCTATAATAACTCGAACTCCCGATAACTTAGCCCGCGTAGCAAGCTTTTCTCTGCGGTTTAGGAGCAAAGAACGAGGAACAAGGGTCAAAGACCGCGCGAAAAATGGTTCTCGTTTAATTTCTCGCGCGATGAAAACCGGAAATCCCCTTCCACGGTCTTTTTTTGCTCCGAAACCAAACGGAAACGCTTGCTACGCAGGCTACCGATAACTCGAACTTTTTCCTGTTTCCCTTAACTTGAAGGTGGCTTTAAAGATGGGGGACAGTCCCTTGGCCATACACGTGCACATGCCTTGCATACCTCGCGCGAGCTGCATCATGACGTTGCAAGTCCACCGCCGAATTATCGCAGGCTCAAGTGCTTGTCGTCTGGCGGGTCGCTCCAACGACGATATGTAGGACAGCAAAGGAAATTTAATAATTTGGAGAAAAATGGCAAAGGCGCCAGAGCAATTGAAGGTTACAGGGTATGGAAGATCCTATTACATTAGCGGCACTATTCCTCGGAGTCACGGTGAAACAACTACGACTGTCATGACAAAAGAGGACTGTCAAACGCACAAACAATTTGACGGAGTTTCATCTTCTGGAAGGAGTGCAGATACGCAAATTTCATTGACTGGCTCGGACAGGGCAATTTCACAGTCGCCCCAGGAACGAACAAAAGGTAAGAGGCTTGATTATTGTTCTCGCTGTTGCGAAGGTAAACGGTACGTCAATTATGCAATGTAATAAACGTGAAACATTTTACGCATGGAGTCCGTTTGTTTTCGTTTACGCTTGTTGGGGAGGAATAGATGCAAAGCGAAGCCCCAAACGACTGGAAATCCGGGACTAGGGCTGACAACGCTGGTAAGCTTGCTTTAGGAATGAAGTAGACAGGAAACAAGTTCGAGTAAGAGACTTCTGTAGGTAGAATAGAACATGCTTGACGATGCAAGTTTTCCAAAAACAAACAATAAGCATGCCATTAACATTACATCACAAATTCCTGATTATCCCCGGGGGTATACCTGGTAACTTGGAGATGCAGTCGCTAATACAGCTGTAAAATAAACTTAAATAGGGGTCGACCATTAAGAATTTTGTTTTTCCTAAACCTCTGAGGTTGGAATTTTCCCCCCAACATATAGCGGTGTTAAATGTTTTTGCAGCATTCTACACCATAAACCACTTACACATCTCCCATAATGCACTATATTTACCCCCCAAAATTTTACATAACCTTTGTTTTTTATTTCTCCTTGGTATTACATTTTGGGGGGCAAATAATTTGTGTCGTGGGAGATGTGCAAGCGGAGTATGAGATAGATGTTTCCCCCCCGGGTCTGCAGGATATTTTTTTCTGAGTTCAGGCCCCTCCCCCTCCCCTTATCATGTACATGTATCATATTACTGGTTCAGGGCTGGCTGCCAGGCTGGTTTAGCCTGAGTATCAGGCGTTTCTGGGGGAAAAGGGGAAAGATGGAAGCGAAAAAGGGAGAGAGCTGAAGGAGAGAAACGCCTGACACAGATGCTTTTACTGGAGCCTTCCACCCCCAAACAGCATGATTCGAAACCATCCAATCAAAATCACATCCGGTCATTGAGTTGTCAGCTTCACGTGTCAAAAAGCTCGCCTGAAATAAATCTTACTGTACGGTCTTGCCGAGCTCCGGTGCTTGTGTTGCAACGATTTCGCTTTTTTCTGAAACCTTCAATGAAGAGTTTTCGAATACTTGTGATGGAAAACCTGCCTTTTTCGAGGAATTATAACATGCTTTAGGAATTGTGCTAATGTAAGATTGCCAACGCTCTGTTTGTAAATAAACGTGTGCCCGGAAAACTGTAAACTGCTTTTGTTTACAGAGTTACAACAGCGGCGCTCATTAATAAGCAGGTTCCTGAGAATCTGGCAGCTAAAAAGCTGCTGTAGATCAGGCCGAAAATCGTCCGAGGGAAAATCTAAAGTCAACCCAAAGCCTTGGTGGTGTCGGCTATTCTCAATACATGGCTACCTCGCTCTAATTTTATTTACAGTAACAATACCCTTTTAGCGGCAGGATGTTGTAAATCAAAACTTAGATATCTGAAGCACTGATATCGTCTTCTTTGTCCTGGTCTAGCCTGCGAAAACATCCGTTTCTCCTCGATCTTCGTTTCGCGGGCTAGTCCTGGTCTTGTGAAACCAATACTCGGACATAGTTTCGGCAGAAGCTGGTATATGAGGCTTTTCCATACTCCGAGAACATCTTTCCTTTTAACTACGAGGCTTTGAAAACACATTTCTTGCTCGGGTGTTATTTTTATTCCCGGAAAGAACTTGAGAGCGCCCTCTAGAGTCTCTTTGAATTCCTCTCTGCGTCTCTATCCATAAAATTAACACATGAAATCAAAACACTCTGCTCGTGTTTACTTGCGCTCGGTGACGTCAGGGCGTATTGTGTGTTATCCAATCACTGCCACATCCAGATTCTGGATGTGTCACACGATTTGCTGAATGGTTTTGTGTCAGGCCTTCCTTTCTCTTCTCCCCCCTCCCCCATCAAAAATCTCCTTTCCCCTATCCCCTTAGGAAGGCCTGATACTCAGGCTAGGCTGGTTGGGTATCACGACTATGCACATGTACAAGAGGACATTTTTAGATGAATTCTTTCATGGCATGTTTTTGGAAGGACTATGCTTGAAATAATTTGTTAGATTGGCTTTGCCTTAGAACAACAAGAAAAGCTATTATAAAGTACATAAACATCAAATTAAAGTGGCACAAAATAAAAATTTGGGGGCCTTGGAATTGTGGCTGGTATATTGTTTTGACCCATTGAAACATAAACAAATTGTTTTGTTCACCTGATACAAAATATACCAACCTATAATAAATTTACTCTGCACAGTAAAGGATCTATATGTATTAACAAAATGCAAAAAGGAATTCTTTTGTGTTATCAATGTTTAGACTGCTTTTCACTGGTTGAAGTTGTGCTGCTTTCCCCCTCTTGCTATGCCCTATCAAGAGATGCTCAGCAATGATCAAAAATGGCCCATGGACAGGCTCCATTGTAATGAGCAAAATATAAATGAGTAAATTTAGGAGTGCAAAGCCAAGTGTGTATGTTTGAGGGGATACAAAACCTTAAAATGTCTTCTTATTGGGTGAGCAAATTATTTAAATTCTAAGATAAGCAAAAGATAGCATTATCCTGACTTACCAGGTATCATCATTTTCTGTGTAGTCGTGATTGTAATTATTTTTAATTTTGTTAGAAACTACAACTGTAAATCCAAGAAATGAAGTTGTTACTGAAAAGCAGGTTGCTGATATCAGTGATGAGGTAGGGACTTGCTGGCGTGAGCTGGGACCCAGGCTTAACATTAAAGAATCAAAGATTCACAATATTGATGAGGAGAACAAAGGTAACTGGCGCAAAGCACATGCTCTTTTGATCATGTGGAAACAGACGGAGGGGAAGAATGCTACAGTCGGCCATCTGGCAGATGTTTTGGAGACGATAGGAAGAAAAAGCATTGCTGAAAAACTGCTTGGTGAGTACTGAGGGATTCCAATGAGTTTCTATGCTGCAAGGATGTGATGAGCAGTTGATATACCCAGAGCTCGAAAAAAATTGAATTCCAGCTTGTCCTTTGGGCAAGCAGCTCTCACATTCCTTTTCTTACACATCTTAGTTACTGGTTGTATTAGAGGATGACTATGTGGGCAGGTATGGTTTAAAAGTTACTTGTTCTGGACTACCAGACGGGACTGTTTTCAAGCCTTGTACCCCATAAGACAAACTCGGCCACGGCTGCAATCTCTCCTGTTTTTTTTTTTGTTCTGAGAAGATTTTTCCACCAATGACTTCATAAATTTATCTGACAATAATGTTGACTTTCAAACAGAGTCAGAAGTGTTTTCTTTTTCAATCTGTGGGTTGAGGTACATGATGTGAGGGAAAATGAACCAAAAGGCTGCATGGTTCACAGGCTTGTGTAAGACTTAGTGTTCGCTTACACTGCAGGCCAGAACTAAGCGAAACAACACATACATGAAACTGATGCAACGGACGCGTCAGCTTGGACAAGGGTTCGTGTCAGTGCTGACAAGTGTCTGCATCAGCTCAGATGCATCAGGAAGGAAAAGATTTTTCTTTTGTCATTCACTTTGACAGCTTTGCTTTGTGGTGCATTGTTGTGAAAACAAAGAAAATCCTTGGGTTTGAAGAAGCTCGATAGTTGCTGATTCTATTAAAGGAACTTTCCATGAGGGAATCAAGATAAATTTGGTGATGTGCAGGGTTTTGTTTGACTCTTAATTGGTTCCAGTCATACACAGCTTCTGATATTTCGTGCAAACGCGGAGCCACGAATTTCAAGTAAATCCGCGAAATCCCGTTAAATTCACAAAAACACATGAAATACTGGGGTGACTGAAGCAGTTGCAGTGAGTGTACTACTGCTGGGAGTGGGAGGAGAAATGGTAATTCCAGAGTCTATATTAACCCTAGGTTCAACAATTTCCTCCTGGATGTTTTCTGCCTCTATAATATCTCTTTCCAAATCTTCTGCCTCATTTAGTTTTGGTGAAATTTGAACATCTAAGGTTTTGAGTGTTTCCGACTTCTTTGATAGTTGATCCCGTGTGCTTTTTGCTGACGCAAGAATTAGATCTGTCATGTCATTTCGATAAGCGAAAATCTCCTCCAACTTCTTCAGTAACTTCGTGAGATGACCACAGCGTCCTCTCCTTGAAGCTTGTAAATGAGTTAGTTCCTCCATCCTGGTCTCGGAACCAAAAAATGTGGGAAATTCCGGCTAAAAAGAGGTTCAACAAGTGGAGGAGTAATTCAGCATTTAATGAAAATGGTGACTCAAGGGAGCACATGTCTCTCCCCCCAGCCCCTCTCAAATTACAAGCTGGTGTTCCACAGGGACCCATCAATAATGATGTCCTTAGTCCAAAACGATTATAAACAGTAACAATACAAATCTAACATTCTAATGAGTAACAACAATAGTCAATAATAGAGTTCGGACATGCTGCACCTTGGTCCCACAAGGAAGTATATTAGGACTGCTTCTTTTTCTTATCTATGCGAGTGATTTACCATCGTGTCAGCTTGCCAGTGAAATTATTATTCTTTACGCTGATGACGCTGTGAATTATTACTCATCGACTGATTTGTCTGGCCTTGAAAGCAACTTAAATTCAGATTTGGCTATAGTTTCCAATTGGTTTTCGAGTAATCTGTTGACCCGAAATATTTCTAAATGCAATTTTGTAATTTTTGGTAACTCACAGAAGCTTAAACTGGTTAATGACGTTTCTCTAAAAGTAAATTCCACTGCTGTTGAAAGGTCTGACTTGTTTAAATACTTGGGAATTGTTATAAATCAAGCTATGTCTTGGTCTGAGCACATTGATACTATCAGTACAAAGATCAATCAAAGGATTGGAATGATAAAGAGAATACGACATCTTTTGCCTTTACATGCTAAGCTCCAATTGCTTAATCATCCCACTGTTTGACTATGGAGACACGGTGAGGGGTGACAAAAATATTGACACACTTATGGGTTAGCTGCAAATTCTTCAAAACAAGGCAGCCAAGGTTTTGCTTAATATACCACCAAGAAGTTCATCAATGAAGGCACTAGATCGATTGGACCTCTCAAAAGAGACGACACTTCCATTGCTGGGTTATGATGCAAAAATATCCGTCTGGGGAAATTGATTTTATATTTGACATCAGACGCAAACTCCCTGAAGCGATGATTTACACCTTCTGGTGTGCACTCCAATAATTGGGGCAAGCAAACTGAACTTTCATTTTTCAAGCCTCTAAGGACTGGAACAACCTAGACAATGACATCAAAAACAACAAATCAACTTTGTAAATGATGCCCTATCTAATTTTTAAACTATTCTAAAATTAGTTTATATGTAAATCAGTTTTCATCTGTTTTCTTAGTTTTTAATTCTTAAAGTAGGTGAATATTTTTTTGGTCATTTTGTCATTTATGATTTGCAGGCCCCCACTGACAACCGCAAAGGCAAGTGGGCTCCTTGGATAAATATTATAATTATAAAATCGCTCGGCATCCCAGGGGCAGATCTAGGGGGAGGGTGCAGGGGGTGCGCACCCCCCCTGAGATGACCAGCAGTTTTCTAATACAACTGGTATTCTGCGAAAAAAAAAAAATCACTATGTGGTTTATTGGTGTTGAAGTCGAGCAAGAGACGAGTGCACCCCCTCCTAAAAAAAATCCTGGATCCGCCCCTGCATCCGACTTTTAAATGTAATTGTAATTCTAGGATCATACACCTTTTCTTTAACAGTGACAAAGTTGGCATGAAATGAAATAAATTTGCATATACAAGAGAATCAATAGTTCACATGTTTGGCTGGCTTAGCCACACTCATAGTTAATGATAATTGTAATAATAACAATAATAATAATAATAATAATAATAATAATAATAATAAATACATTCTTATATGGCGCGTTTACAAAGCTCAATGCACCTTACAATGATTTACAAACAGAAGATAAAATCAAAATCCCTATCTAATTACATTCACCATTATAGTGCTTACTAAAATTTAAAAGCTTTCCTAAAAAGATGAGTTTTCAACTTGTTTTTAAAACAGATTACAGTCTTGGCATTCTTAATGTCTTCCGGTAGGGAGCAGGGCTTAAAGTTTAAATTTGAGTTTGGGAGCACTTGTGCTACCAGATGTAAATTTTTAGGCGCACAGCTGAAAATTTTAGGAGTACAGCTTATAATGTTGGGAGCATCTATTTCAAAAGAAAAAGTAAAAAGCTTAACAGGGCCACGTTTATTTGTCATCTTCAGTTTGTTACTCTTCCTTCAGTCCTGTGATTGATAAAACACAGCCGATTTGCTACGCAGTAATACCGTTGTGATTTTTAATACTAATTTCTCTTTTTGACAGTACAGTTGTGACTAAAGAAAACTTACACTTAGAAAAACAATTCCAAACTGACAACAATGAGTGTGTCGAACGAGAATGAAAAGTAATCTTCAATGAATTTGTTAAATGCGCAATGACTTACATGTAACTGGAATATGACTTAAAAAACTTTCTTACCCGGAAAAAATGGCTCTTAATCCACACTGTTTTTGTTTTGATTGACGTTAAAACTGAACGTTCGACATGATCGTCCATTGCGCAAAAAGAACGTGTTTTGTTCGCAGCATATATTTGCACGTGTCAGCGGTGTTTATTACAAAACAGAAGAGTATGGGATGGAGTAAGACATCAAAATGAAAAAAACATTCGAGTTCTGAGAATCCATTGAGAGAAAAGACCAATTAAACATACACCGTCTTTCTAGGTCGAGTTTGTAAGTATAGTCGGAAGTAAGTCAGTCGCACTGTGCTTTGGGTTTTACGGCGGACAGGTGCGATTACGCGTGAATTTTTAGGCGCACAACCAAAAATCCAGTCGCATATGTGACCAGTTAGTCGCTAACTTTGAGCCCTGGGGAGTTCCACAATTTTGGCGCCACAAAAGAAAAGCTCTACACCCGTAGTTTTCAGTTTTAGCTTTTTGAGGACAGAGTAGTGAACGTGAAGCTGATGTTAAACTTAGTGACGGTTGATACATTTCAGTAAAAGGCTTCAGGTAGTCTGCAGACTGGCCATGTATAGTCTTTAACCATACGTTATGAGGAGAATCTTAAATTCAATCCTCTTTCAACTGGAAGCCAGTGCAAGTTCTTTAGTATAGGCATTACATGATCTGAACATTTTAGGCCCATCAGAAGATGCGCCGCGGTATTCTGGATTCATTGGAGTTTATCCCTTTGATATTTAGGAATACCGTGCAATGGACAATTACAAGAGGCCAATCTTGAGATGACAAGGGCATTGACTAACATTTTAAGTCTGTCTAGCGAGAGATATTTCCAAATGCGTCAAGCCATAGTTAAGCCATAATCCCAATTAACTTTACAACAGGCTTTAATACATTTACATTTAAGGCAACTCTCGAATGTACTCTTAAAATCTTAAATTGATCCAAAATCTTGACTTAAGTCTTCTTAAAAAACGGCGACATTTACACCAGAAAATGCGTGAGGAAATGCCATAGTAAATGTTTTGAAATAATCTTATCGAAATGGTAGCAAAAAACAAAGTGAGGAAATATTTAATTATTCTTCCAGAAGCTCATTCTTGCATTGTCATCAACACACTTCGGGCAGACTAAGAACTACATATCACACACTGCTTGTATAGTGTAAAACATGCAGACTTGACAAGTCAACTTAAGTAAATATTAGAGTAAACTTTCAGTTACTTGCTAGGCAACAAAGTTCATCACAAGGATCGAGTTTCACCGATGTCTCTCTGAAACCAGCAACTCAAACTGATCATGCAAAGAAATGATACAATGAAAAGGAAAATATTCTCAGTTTTGTTCCTTAAATGAACAACATGAATGTTTCAGGTTTAGACTGTTTAGAGTGATTTTTTTAACCAGTGGAACAGATACTAACAACTACTGCAAAATAGCCACAAAAAAACAAAGGAAGACAATGGAGTTAGTGCATAATAGTGCATAAAGCTTGGGCTTTGTCTGTAGTCCCTCATTTAAAATTCTCTCTCACCACCGCATCTTGCCTTTCTTGCATGGGTTGATTATTCACGCTCACTTGGGTTTCGCTCGCTCTACTATCCCTGAGGAAAAAGGGGGACTACTTGTGGTCTAGTAATTATTAACACTGCCTTTTTCTGTAAAAATCTGTAGAATCTTTTTATATCGATCATTTACAATAGCTAAATGGGAAGAATATTTTGTTACGATGTTGCCGTTGGCATTACTGTCATATTTGTGTAGGTCTCGTAAAGATGTGAGGGTTTCCTTTTTAGAGAATTTCTTGGCAACTGTTGATTAAAAAGTGTTTTGTTTTTGCCATGTACTGTATTATAATTAGCAGCAAATCTTATCTCCACAGTAATCAAAAGTTATGTGCATCAGGTTTTTACACTTTTGAGTGTACATTGTATTTTGTTAGAATACTTCAGAAATGTGTGTCAATGCCAAATGACAGTTTTACAGTTCATTCACTTGGTTTGTTTATACATGCAAAATTTTAGCATGTGCCGATCCAACAGTTTGACTCTTGTCGGCTTTTTACCAAGTGCACACATTACATTAAATGTAATGTGTGCAGTTGGTAAAAAGCCTACATACATACTAATGACTCTTGGTGTGCATTGACGCATTTGAGATCAGTTGTGTATGCTCTCGCATATGAGACTAGGAATACTAGTTCTTGCATCTGGCCTGATGCAATGGACTAGTATTCCTGACCCAATATATTATGCGTAAATTTTTGGTTTGCCTAGTTGTGGTCTGCACTGTAAGTCTGATCCTATTTTTATTTTGAAGATCGAGGCACTTCTAGTTGGGTACTACAAAACTTTCATGTTCTACGTATTTTATTAACTATAGTCCAAATTCCCATGTGGGCCACTCAAACTTTACCCATGGGTTGACCCAAATTAGATATATGGGATTTCAATGATATTTTGATATATGTAGTATAATATGAATGAGGCTGAGTATGATCTGAAGAATTATGGAGATCAAGGAGGGCCTCAGTAGATAACACCTTCTCAAAATCTCCAAAATTCTTTAGACCATTAGAAAGCGGCATCCAATAATTGTGTTATTATTGATTCAAAATACATGTATTTCCTTGTTCAAAAACAATCTAAAACATGCTTACATGATCAATGTCGAGTTCCTGTCTTCAACTGCCTGTTTCTCGGCAAGTTCAGGAGCAGACAAAAAGATGTTCAGTTCTGCAGATATTCTCCAAATAGCAGATGTCATGTTTCAAGCTGTATTTTTGCTGTTCTTTTAGGCAGTAGTTCAGCTATTTCTTCTTTACGAAATGTGATATGTTCAGCAATTTTGTATTGCTCGACTAAAACAACACAACCTTTTCCCTTTTTGCTGTCCATTTTCTGCTGTACTATTCATATCATTTTCTACATATTGCAAACATCTTCCAAATTTGGTCAATGCTACAGCTGTAGCTGGCTATGAAGACTTGTCTGTGGAATTCGAGCTAACCAGAAATGGAGAAATATTTTGAGTGAATAATAATTAGCAATTAAGCAGATCGAGGAGGGTGTTATCCACAGAGGCCGAAGGCCGAGGTGGATAACACCCTCCGAGATCTGCTTAATTGCTCATATCCTACAAAAGCCGTATTCATTAATTGTTTTATTATTCATTCAAAATAATTCCTAGTTTAAAAACATAGCTAAAACAAATATGCTAACCTGCATCAATGTTATTTTTGATAGTGTACATTTAGGTTTGTCCAGCTCCGCAAATATTCTCCAAATAGCAGATGTCGCCCCCCACGTTGTCTTCTTGCTGTTGTTGCTATGTTTTTAGCCATTATTTTGCCTAGTTCCAGCTGTAGTTTTTACTCTTGAAACAAGTGATGTGTCTGTCATTTTAGTTTTCACAACAAAAACAACTCTACCTTGTCCCCAGGTCTTCTAGGTTAACGGTGCATTAACCTGTAGAAGGCTGTATTTTTTACGTCATTTCCTCATTAAACACAAAATTCTTCCAAATTTGGTCATCAGTAACTGGTTATGGTGAGTTATGCATGTGCTTTTAGCCAATCAGAATTGGGGAAATATTTTGAATGAATAATAATCCAAGTTATGGGAGCCAATCAAAACACACAAAAAATGTGCTACCCACTGATTTGGTATTAATATCAAGAACAGTTATTTAACTAACAAACAGCATTTTGAATTTAATGCAGTAATTTTCTAACATTTTTTTTTATTGGTTTTCAATCTTATTAGGAGAGAGTAGAGCATTGGAGATGCCAACAGGTGCCCCAATTTCCGTTGGTGCTAAGATTGGTTTAACTGTGAATGCCATACAAGACAAGGTTGCTCATTAATTTTTGTTTTTGAATAAAACTTAATAAAATACATGTAGTACATATTGCACTTTTGTCTGGGTTATATGTTTCACAATACTGCTGAAATTGCAGACAAACTGTAATTGGCAACAAGCAAGCCGAGCAAAGACGGTTGGCTTGCGAGGCTGCCAGCTTAATGCCACGCAGAGTATTGCAGGCAGAAAAATCCTCGATCATGCTGTGAAAAGTGTAATGTAAGTGTAATGTAAGGTGTAGATTCCCTGGAGATTTTAGTAGCATTAGATTTCATGTGTAGTTTCATGTGACTTTTGATGGCCTTTGTTTAAACAAACTTTCAAAGTTCGGACATTGTTCTCTGCCACACTACTGTACTTGTACAAACCACAACTTGCTATTTCAAGTTCACGCTAACCTATAATTTGTTTTTCTCATTTCGTTGGCGAATGAAGTATTTTTTTCCATCCAAGAACGTCAGGCAATTTTGAAAAATAATGTTTGTGGTAACCATGTAATTATTTTATCTTTCAAATTTTTATTCAACAAATTTTTCTTTGTTTTTACTTACCTTGTTCTTACATATAACCCTTACTCCCTTAATTTTCCCTCTGATTAGGAGGCTGGCACTGAAAATGAAAACATGATTCTTTTAAATCTCTCTATGGTCACTAATTTACCTTCTCTTAATTTAAACAGGTTTTATTCTGTGAAGGTGCTCATGGGAATATATTCATTGTAAAAGCAATTGACACCAAAGGACAATGTGACTCGGAAAAGGTGGGTTAAATAGATAACCTTTGTTGGGGAAATAAAGGAGCCTAAAATTCAGGCAAGGAATAAAGCTGACGTGGGGCAATTTTCCAGTTATTTTAAAACTTGTAGTTGACCCACATGAAACTGTGCTAAAAGTACGCTGATTATGAATTTGGGGTGCTGTAAACATACATTGTACTGCATGTAAGACAGGCTCAAATGTAACTTGTGAAGCTACCATAATTTTCGTGTTTGAGGTTGTATCACTTTTTTATGCTCTCCCCTCAGCTTTTGAGCCTGGGAAAAATATTAATCGCCAAAACTTAGCTGATGTCTATTCTGTCACCACCACCACCACCACTACTACTACTACTAATACCACTACCACTACCACTCACTACCACTACCACTACCACTACCACTACCACTCACTACCACTACCACTACCACTACCACTACCACTCACTACCACTACCACTACCACTACCACTACCACTCACTACCACTACCACTACCACTACCACTACCACTCACTACCACTACCACTACCACTACCACTACCACTCACTACCACTACCACTACCACTACCACTACCACTACCACTACCACTCACTACCACTACCACTACCACTGCCACTGCCACTGCTACTACTACGACTACTGTTTTATTTTGGCAACTTCAACAGGTCAACATGAAAAAAGGGCATTAAATTTGGGGATTCAAGCATTTCTCAACTTCATTTTATTTTTCAAAAAGTCGGAACTTTTTAAAAATTCTATTTTGAGATTCTCTACTCCATACTGCAGACAAATGTTAATGAAAAATTAACAGTTAATGGAACTTACCAAAATAATTTGTGTATTTGTCAGATTTGTCAGGATATATCCTGTATATGTTGTTGTTATCACATGCTAATCAGTTTTTTCTGTGACTTGAATTTTCTACATGGGTGCCAAATTTCCATGTTTAAATTTTGCGAGGATTATTATTTGCATTCTTTAATTTCACAATATTTTAACAATTATTACAAAATAATTGCAAATTTAAAAGACCTTCAAATTAAAGTACTAATAAGGTACCAGTACCACTACCACCACCACCACCACTAGTAGTACCACTACCACTACTTCTACCACAACCACTGACACCACTACAGTATCACTACCACTGTCTCTACCACCACTACTACCACAACCACGACAGTACCACTAGTGCTACCACCACCTCTTCTGCTAGCACCAACACCACCACAACCAGTCTTGCTGCCACCACCACCCTTACTGCTGCCCTTACCACTACTACCACTACAGTACCACTACCACCACCAAGCCGCTATTACTACCACTACCAAAAGTGCTACCATCTTTACAGCACCACTACCACCATCACCAACACTACCAATATCACTATCATCACCTCTACCACCACCACTACAGTCCCACTACCACTGTTACTATCCACCACTACCATTACCACTTTCACTACTACTACCACCACTACCACCACACCACTACAGTACCACTACCACTACCATCACCACCACACCACCACTACCATCATCCCCACCTTTACCACTAACGCTACCTCCAGTACAGTACCATTACCACCAGCGCCACCACTGCAACCACCATTAGCACTACTTCTACCACCACCACTACAATCACCATGGCCACCACTTCTGCTATCACTTCCACCAGAACCAACCACCTCCACTACCAGTATCACCACCACCACTACCACTACTCATAAGTAGGTGGTATATGATCATCTGGGTGGGTGAAGTCCTGAATAGGACTGTTGTTGTTAGTGACTAACGTTTTGACAACCCGTGGGGTAGTAATCTTTAGTCAGTCAGGTTATGAAAAAAATCAGTCAGGACTTCCGTCACCTGGGCAATCATATTCCACCTACCAATGAAATGACTCCATGGTTAAAACCATTCACTGCACTACCACCACTACTGCTACCACCGCCACTACCATTATGGCTACCACTAACACTCCACCATTACCAACATCGCTAGCACTGCTACTGCTGCTTCTATTGGTAATTATTTTTATATTCGTACTTAAACTGGTACCTTTGTCTTGGTAGATCCTGAAGAATAAAGAGTTCTTAGAGAAAGTTGCTGCCGCTGCCCAGGACATGGAAAAAACAGAAGAGCAGAAACTCCAAGATTCTTTAGTCCGCTATTCCACGGGAATAGAAGAACTCAAAAAGGAAATGCAGGATTGTTCAGTCCGTTATTCCACGGGGATAGAAGAACTCAAAAAAGAAATACAAGGACAAAAAGAGGCAAAGGATAAAGATGATGATGATTATGACGATGGAAGACCTTCTGCAGGGACCAGCAGCGCTGAACAGAACACACAACAATCAGATACACTGTTAAATGATGTAAAAGTATCACTACAAGATGCAACACAATTGCTACAATATTGCGAGGAACATAAAACACATTTTAATGGAACTTACAATAATCTTATTAAGAAGGTTGAAGAGGTTGCACAGTTGCGAGAAGACAACTTCATGTGTGTTAAACATCTATGTGACTCTATAAAAGAGATCAAAGATGAAGAGAAGAAGATATTTAACCCAAAACTGAAGCGGCTGCATGATTTGAAGCAGTATTTAGATGGATGTCAGGTAACTCAAGTTGAAGAATTATACAAATGGAGCACGGTACAAGAAAAGCAACTCAGTGAAGTTGAAAAGCTGCTATCAAGTTTGCTTAATCAAGGGAATCAGGTGCGTTATAAGCCCCCCAGTTATAAGCTCGTATCCCTGTAGACAAAAACGGGCTTTGAAAAAACCTCTCTTTAGACCAAGATAAGTCATCATATGATTCCTTGGGGGTTGTCAGGCCTTGACAAAGGGAGTCTCTTATATGTAAAAACAGAGTAAGGCCTATTTTCATGAGACGAACCAAACTTAGTGAGTTAAGTTCATGAAAAGTTCGACGTCTGTATCAGTTGAATTCGTCTGAATGTGTTTGGATGTTCTAAGATCGTCTCCGGGACAAACGTCGATCTTCACATGCGACGAACTAAATTGATAAATTAAAAATTTGTTTTAAAATGTATATTTAGCTTTGTTCCGGAGGAAATTTACTGAACTAAATCTGATTTAGTTGATTGGTTCGACGCGTCCGAAGTTCGATGTCTGACCCAACAGACCATCTTAAATTAATTTAGGTCCGCCCAAATTGGAGTTTGGTTGTCGCATGGAAATTTCGACGGTTGGCCATGGCCTTAATCTAGTTTTGTGTTCACTTTTACATTTTACTGCTGAAATTCTCATTTCTGCAGATGTCCAAATTAAAGATCTGTTGTAGTGAGATCTATAGAGCGGTATTATACATAGATCTTTGGTGTTAGAATATCATTCACCAACACCTGAAACCTACTTCCCAGCTCTTTTACAATAAGGTACTCCCAACTCCCTTCCGGAACACCTCACACCTCAACGCGTAGTTTACGGCATGTATTAAAACTAGGAATTCTGGAACACACCTGTAAAACGTGTAAAACCTGGTTATAGGTAAAATAAAACAAAACACTCGAACGGCAACTTTTGAAATATGAAAGGTTCTTCCTCATTGTTTTATTTGTGTGACGTGTTGTGGGGTGTTCCATGTTCCAGGTTTTAGTATGTGCGATACTTTACATTTCTCTGAATGGGGCTGTACTGCTGGTCTTGGACGCTTCGCGAGGATAATGTATATCAGAACCCACAGTTATTAAGCTGTGCGTTTTCGGTTTGCCCCTTATAAAGGTGAAGACTACTTTTGCAGAAAAAATAATAATAATTTCTTTGTGACTTACCTTAGTTACTTTTTTTTGTTCTTGTTTTTTGTTTTTAAGTGCCGCTCTGAATCCTCTGCCGGTGGAAGGTCCTCCTCTTCAAGGAAAGGAAAGGTAATCTCAGGACATGTGTTAAGCTTGGTCTATAATTTGCCTTATTACAGCAACTACTGTAACCGGAAGTCACTTAGACAAAGTTGACCAGTAGGATTACAGGAAAGTAACAGTACATTCCATGAAAGTTGGTTGTGGCCAATCAGCAGCTCGTAAGAAAACAATAACTGGGTTACTCAAAGCAAGAAATATAAATATTGATAGCAAACGTTTTTCAAGAAAGCAAAATGTTTCACCTGACGTTTTTGTATTCCAAACTTTGCATATAACACCCAGGAGACTTGTTTGACACAAGCTTTTATTTTGTCATCTACCAGCAATTTCTTCGCTACCATTCAGGCCACATTTTGCAATAACAAGCGACCTCAAGTCAAAATTATGCCTAACGTGTACAGTTTCCTCCTCCGTCAGCACTCTAACGGACCTCTCAGAAAACACAGAGCGCTTACCATTTGTAAAGAAAAGGTTTCCGAAAAGAGGAATGGGTTAGATTTGTACCATCAAGACCCCAGGTAACGAGTGGGTCTGGGTTAAAACAAATCACCTTCCGCCTCAAGAGGAAGCCTGGCACTGGTTAACCAGACAAATGGTACAACAAATTTCGGTTGTTTCGTAATACCTCGAAAGGTATTACTTTTTTCCGGAAAATTTCCACCGGAATAAACCGTCCCATTTGAATTTTCCCCGGATTTACCGGGTTTTCCATACAAATGGTAAGCACTCTTAGGCTTTCTTCAACGGGTTCAAAAGGTCACGTCTGTAATTTGTAATTGGTTGATTTTGATCCATGTTGTTGATTTCGTTTCATCGTAATTATGATTGACAACAAACTTTTTCGGAATGTATTGTTATTTTCCTGTCGTCCAATTGGTCGACTTAGTCTAGGTGGCCCCGGTTATAGTAGTCGCACTGTTAATGTTTCCCCCAGTCTCTGCAAGCGTGTTCGCCCCTTTCATTCCTAAACTTTTTGATCAACTCGCATGCTCGAGCTCTTTGATTAACGTTCTACTCATACAGTAAATACCTGCGTGTAAGAACCTACACTTTTTGAAGTCTGGCAAAAAAGTTTCTTGTATTTTGGGCTAGTAATTGACAGTTTAGGCTCAGTATAGGTTCTTAATTTCTATGAACAGAAGGAGATAAATTATTGCTGACTACTAGAGGAATAAGTGAATTTGGTTTTGGTCCTTAAACTGTCGGTGTCGCTTGTCGTATCTCCGTCCTGATAACCGGTCGTCTATAAAACAACCAACCAAATGATTCCTTTTTAACCATCTAAAAGGCATAAAAGAGGAGGTTATTAGAATGTTAAAACCAAAACAGCTCGCCAGTTAATTGCATGTGGCAATGACCAACTCGAAAGCATACGCTCCTTCGTTGTTCACTGCGCACATTTTACCTTTCACCGTTACTTATGCAATTTGTTGTTCTCTCTTTCTTTTCTGTTCTTCACTCGCAGATTATTTGGGAGTTTTAAAACTTAAGTATTGATATTTAGGAAAATCATTTTTATGAATGTTTGATTAAGTCGTTTACAGACTGTGATTTAAAGTTGGTTTTTTCCACTTAAGATACCGTAAAAGACACAAATCATATTCCAAGAGCCGACAGAAGTTAGTTTTTTGAGTAGGGTTCCAAGACTTGTGACAAACGTTTTTACATGACTTTGAGCTATTGCTTTAAACTGACTTAATGGGTCCAATAGTCTGGGCTTCCCTTATTTCAGTAGATGTTAAAAGCCAGTAGCCCAGAAAGCCTTATGTGTTTTGTGCATGAGTTAAAATCAAGCATGGACAGAATAACTAAAGAGCAAGGTACAATGGCTTATGTGATGGATTCAGTCTTAAGACAATTTTGAAATATAATTTCAGCGGAGGAAAACCTACCCATTAAAGTCTCAAACTTTCGATGAACTTAAAGGACTGAATGACGAGTGCAGTGATATATCAGCGCCATTTTGTACACAACAAATGTCTAGTTTACGCTAAGACATAAACTTAAACGGTTTGTATATGTTTGTTGATATTTCGATTGATATTGGTCTTTTGTCATTATCACCTGTGGCGCTGTTATAGTAACCTGCCATCAGGCGATTTTTTTTGGTCCGATATTTTTACCCCCGCCAAAAACAAAAAAAGCTCCTGATCGCAGTTTACTGTTATAGAATAACAAGACGTAATTTTTCACCAACAATCTCGCAATGTTCTCTTATTAGCTTTATGTGAATTGTGATGATCATTTTTATTTTATTTTTTATATCGTGTTACCCTAAAACTAATTTTCTACGACTTGTATTAATTTTATGGCTCTCTACTCTTTTAGTCTGAATTCTACCACTCGTTAATGACATGTCCGAGTCGGATAATGACACGAGACGATCAAAATACCGTATTTATTCAATTAACCGCCCTGGGCGCTTATTAACCTTGACCTTGAGAGTGGGCGCTTATTCGAGGTGGGCGCTTATTAAACTTTCACCGTTTTCAGCAAGTGTAGTATGTTTATTTTGCAACAAAACAATAAATGGTCATAACGAAACGTGAAGATGTAACAAAGCAAGGTTTTTATAAACCACCCCAACTCTGAAGAAAACTCTGTCTTCGGGGAAGTCTCTTTATATTAGTACTTATTTAATTTCAATCTCATTGTAACCCAGGTGGGTGGGGTGGGGGTGGGTGCTTATTCGAGGCTGGGCGCTTATCAACTTTTTTTGCCTTTAGGATGGGCGCTTATTCGAGGTGGGCACTAATTCGAGGTTGGGCACTTATTCGAATAAATACGGTAGCAGCTATCAAGTACGAAGTTGATGC